CCAGATTCAGTACTCGGTACTTGGTATTCGGTAGTCAGTACTTTCGAGTTTCGAATTTTGAGTTTTGTTTCCAATCTTTTGTCTCGCATGCCGAGTGCCGAATTCCGGGTGTCGGGTGTCAGTACTCGGTTCTCAGTACTCGGTACTCTGGTGATTCGAGTCTCGAGACTTGTGACTCGTGATTTACAAATCGACATTTGAAACTTGTGATTTCTGAGAACAATGTGTATTATCTTATGTATTTCTGTACTCATTTCACCGACTACCGAGTGCCGAATCTCGGGTCTCGGGTCTCGGTATTTCAAGACAACAAAAATGTATATCATCTTAAATTTGAATTTTCTTAACTCGAGCCTCGAAACTCGTAAAAATGTACAATACCTAGGCCTATCTGTCTATATGATATGTATCTGGGCCCACCCGTCTATCTATACATAATTACCTCACCCTTGGCCCACCCGTCTATCTAATATTACCCGACGTCGGCCCACCCATCTATGTAGAATTCCCCACGTCGGCCCACCCGTCTATCTAATATGACCCCACGTCGGCCCACCCGTCTATCTAATAAATATTTCATTCACCGCTCCCTCGGCCCATCCGTCTACAAAATAATACTAATACGTCGGCCCACACGTCTATATAATACTATTTGCTATACATCTCTCCTCAGGTCTATAATATATGTCAATCCTACTCTACATATTACCCACATGGGCCCACCCATCTCCATAATAATATTTCTCCCGGCCCATCCGCTATCGTCGATGATATATATAACATCAGCATAGATGGGCCCACCCGTCTCCATCGGAAATAATATGCCTCCGGCCCACCCGTCAACATCGGGAATATACATAACATCGGCCCATAATCCGCTGGCCCGTATTACACGGGATATTATGTAGGTCGGGTGACCCGTATAATACGGGATTTGTCACTGAAGGGGCTCATTCGCCGTCAGACCATTCATCAATGCAGCATTTAGCCTGCAGCTGACAATATCACCATCTGAAGCCAACAGACAATAGCATGACTTACTGCGGTGTACACCAAGGCCAGGGCTGGCATTGGAAACGGCGAAAAAAACTTCTTGAAAACGATTCCTTCATCCTTCTTGTTGCGGTACAAGAGTAAATTTGCCGCTTGCTGATTTAACCTCGACCGGAAGAGGCCACTGTGAGGGACATTGTTCTTTTTGTCCCCGAGGTCCTTCCAACCAAATATAAGTACAAAACATGACTCAAGATATCATTAACGCACCCGGTAACACAAGCCAAATTTATCCTTGAGCTGACGGGCACGTTTGCGATTCCTACACTTGATGGACTCCCGATTGGTGGACTCAAACCCATAGATATTCTCAACGAGCGGCCGAACCTTCGCTTTCACCTCACTGGTGAGATGCGATGTGCGCTGGGTAATCTTAAACAAGAAATTAGGCAGATGAATTAATAGAAATCGATCACGTACCATCTGTATGATCTTGCCATTGAATCCCATCTCCATCTCTAACAGCTACATGCCTCCTTCCAGGCCTCCTTCGCCCACACGACTTGAGTCATGCGATCCGGATAGGCATACTCGGATGCGAGCCGGGCACAAAAATGGCTGATCGCATACTTGATTAGTTGCTGCACACCGCTACTTTGTAATCATGGGCTGCTACCACGGCCCTTACTCTGACGAATCTTGCGTGGAAGTCGCTGTTCACCTTGCTGTGGGGAAGGCGAATCTTCAGACTCGCGCATCCGTTTATGACTCTGTGTGCTGTCACCCTCATCATCTGAGGGTGGCAGCCACAACACGCTTCAAGTGGTGCAAATCTACAAGATCAATCAGCTGCCATTCAAGTGTATGATACTGAACCACTCACCCTCATAGTTGTTACCCTCACCATGGTATGTCTCTCCACTGGTGAACACATCATCTTCGTCGTTGTCAAACTGCCCGCCATCGTCCATTTTGCTCGCCATTGGTCAAGTCTATGTCGTCACCTATGGACCCATTGGACTGCACCTGTCGAAGTTGGATGAGCTCGTTGGCACGTGCCACTGTCAGCTTCCGTGGCACAGGTTGGAGCTTCAACATAATGATCAGTGCCCTAAAATTGAGGCAAAGGCAATGAGACTTACACTGAGACCATTGGACCTCTGTTCACGATCGCCAAAACCAGACTCCTTAAAAACAAGGCATCAACGTCAAATATATGTTATAACATGCGGCTGACTCACCTTTGTAAGAGGGTCTTCCTGCCAGCCCCCAGACACAGACGTTCTGGACAGAGCTGGTGTATGTACCTGTGTGATGTGTTTTGGCCGTGGGGTGTACTTTTCTCATGGGGGGACCTTGCTGAACCAGGGACGCAGATCTAGTGGACTGTTGGATGGTACACTACCTCTGGACAGGGCGATAGCCTGCGTTGAAAACTGTGTGCCGTCATGTGTACCTGAAAATAGTTAGGTGGCAGGCAACCGATGCGACAGTCAACAACACACCTCTGTCCACAACGATTTTTACAGGTGGCCTTAATTTTTTCTTGACCACTTGGGTGCGGCATGCCTCACAGTGTTCTTGGTCCTCCTCGACTAGGTACAATATAACGATATAGTTAGTGATAGAATTGGTAGTACATAAGAAATGGCATACCTTGGTACAGAGCCTTCTCTGAAGGGCGGCGGTTGCGGCGTTGACGCTGAGAGGGAGCTGAATCAGTATTGTTGAGAATATTACTCAGTGCTTGGCGAGTAGGACCAGTGGAAGACATTCTGGATGTAGATTGAACGTGAGGATGAGACAATCTAAATTTTATGAGTATGAGGGGGCACAGCGCACCTTTTTTCTATCATCACATCCTTTATAATGACGCATCGCGTCTGCAGACCACGATCAACAATCAATGCGCAACAACACGCTCGCGTCAAGTCATGTGCAAACTGCAATCTTGAGGGATCGCACTGATCTTGAGGAAAAAGTTTTGATGTCCGATGGATGACAAGTCAGCCAGGTGAGACTCGATCGAACTGTCACTTATGGGTCGGCTTTTTTGGCTTGTGAACCTTGAACCTCCTGCTCGACCATACCATCATGCACCGCTGCAATTTTTGCCTCAAAGGCAACTTCCAGAGTGCAAGGGCCGTTAGCCTTCATATAAGCTGGACTGTAGCCTGTAAGCAACACATGGACCAGCTGCGCAACCATGAGCAAGCCACACAAGAGGCCACACCCAACAATAACCAACCTGAGGATGTCTACTTCGATGGAGACATACCTTGGGAGTTTGATGGCCAGGGGGATGTCATACTGGAAGGGCCACAAATACAGGAGCATTGTGGTGTCCAAGTCGAAGAAGTAGAAGATGAGGAAAGGATGTGGATGCGATTCATCCAGTCATACCCAGGGCAAGTAGCGCAAATGCTCGGCTGCGCAGAGAGTATGTTCCATGACATCAGAGCCCAACAAGAGGCTCAAGGTCTAGACCCATGGGCGCCATTTACGGACGCAGGGGAATGGGGACTTGTGAAATGGTTGGTACCCCCGTGTGGGCCAAAATGCAATAGATGAGTTCATGAAACTACCAATTGTAAGTCAGTAATTCAGCCCCGATTCACAACATACTCACCAATGCACCATCAGAAATCCAATGCTGAAATTTCATTGATATATAAACAATTATAGCATGTAAAATCGGTACAATAAGCGCAATGATGATAGGTCACTTTGTTAAGTCTTATATGGTAGGATAGACATGGCAGGACGCGCCAAATATACAAGGGTGAGATTTCACTTATCAAGGTTCCATCAAATATATATATATATTGCCATTGCCTTGCAATCCCGGTACATTCATGGACTGTAGTCTCTTTGATTATAATGTATGCTTGTCCTGACAGAACTCTCAAAATATCATGATGATGATGGGGATTGTAGGGAAGTGTCTGCATGGCAAGGAAGTTAAGCAGTATATTTGTGACATTCCATCAACTCTAGTATCTGAGCATACAATGGGTGCTTGTGTTTATGTAACATACAAAATTACACCAAAGAGACGAGTGTCACAAACCTATGTCCAATTGGCATCATTCTTAAAAGTATTTCCCACAAATGCACTTCTTGCACTTGTGACCAATAAAATCATGCGTGACACATTTGGAGCAAGAATCTCAAAATGACATACACTATAACTGTAGTGTCAGGCAGCCAACACAGTTCATAGTTTACCGAGATGATATCGTTACATCGAAACTATCTGGATTGGCATCACCAGTAAAATCATAGAGATCTGAGTGGATGTTATGATCAGGTTTCAGTCTGAAGACTCTGCACAATATCGGCATCAAAAGCTAGATAATGGTAACATGGATTGTCTTAGCTCTCGCCAGGTACAGTCAACTACTACAGATGCCAACTGTATGCTACACACTCAAGCTGCCACACCAGGGACTGAACCCGACTCTTTCATTCTTGCCCGCCTTTCTCGAATCCTTGCCAGCGCACTATTCTTAACAAGTGGACATTGAGCAGTCGAATACGAAGGAAAAATTTGCCTATAAAATGTGAGGATCAGCAGGACGAATGTATTACTTCCAAGCCACCAATCACCTATTCCACCAGACGACGAGGTCGTCCACCTCTTGTTTCTCATCTGGGTCTTTGAAAATATCTAAGATGGAGTTGTAGAACCGTTCAGAGTCAGTGACTGTGTCTGTACGTGAGAACACAGGGGATGAGGTAAGGGCGAATTGGACCTGGAAGGAATGTTCAATCAGAGAAAAGTAAGGATCCGAAAGATAGACTCACCTGCATTGCAATATATGTGATGGACGGCAGAGTAACTCTTGTCATTCCGTGAATTCAGGCATTGCCTGAACGAGTTGCCCTTGGTTCTCTATCCACAGAACTGGGGGACGTGAAAACGTGTTTATATGCCTAAGAATCTTGTTGAGTACAAAGAAATTTAGAAGCGACGCGGAGCTTATATCATATGCAGACTAGCAGGGCGCTTCGAAATAAGCCATTCCACGGATCCTCCAAGTCATAATGGTAGTCGGCATATAAGAACAATGACCATTGGTCTCCAGTCACAATCATTTCACCACTTTGTAGCTTGGTTTTCGTCCTGGACCCCATCAGTCTTTATGCCATAGACAAGAGGCATATCACTTACTCTAGGTTGGACCAGTCAAGGCCAGCAGGACAGAGCAACGCGCCTGTCCGTTCATGATGAAAACCGCGGTCAATTTTCACGTTGCGAGTAAGAGGAGGAACAAGGCTCTGTCCCTTTGGGGTGATCCAGTCGAGCACACTGCCCTTGAGACTTTTGGTGTCGTCACCTCTTGCTCCAGATGCACCTTTGGTGAGCTGATGATATGTGGGATAAGTCATTAACTCGGGGACATATAAACTATGACACTTGCTAACTCTGCAATGAGGTCAACCTCATCATCTCCACCTTGCATCAACTGCTCTTCCAGGCCTGCTACAGACTTGAGGAGCTCTTGAAAAATACGGTGCTCGCGCCGTTCCCTGAGAAAATACACATGATTAGACGCACTGCACATAGTGCTGTAGGAAAATAAAATACTCTGCGGTGAAGTTTTCATCTGGAGTCCCTGCCAATTCTCCCATCCAGTAAAATTCCATTGGTGAGAAGGGCTTGGAAGTTGCACAGAGCATGGATCATTCGCCTGAAATGATGTCCGTAGTGTACCAACGGATCAGTTGCGCTCCTGTATTACAATCCCAGAGCATCAGTAGCAATCGCCTGCTGCAAGTATAAAATCACTCACGGCCTTTTCCTGGGACCGAGTTGAAGGGCATCAACCTGTTTGCGATGTTGGCCGCAAGATTGCTCTTCCTCGGACATGACAAGTGGAATGCGAGAGGCAAGATGAGAATCAGCTCTGAATCTCATGGCCCCGGTGATGTTTAAAGTCAAATACCATTCGGCTACAGTAGTATTTGGCGCAGTTTGAGGGGGCGACTCAAATCTGTTTTAGTAATAGTGGTCAATGAAATAACGACTTACCACAGCCTTAAGCGGCCAAGCGAGCGCTCTCATTGGTGGAGAGGACTCGCATGGAGATTTAGTTTAGCTGTGTGCTTGGCCGTATACGTACTCCGCTGGATGGGTGCTGCCAAATATCCCTTGGACTCAGCAAGAAGTCCAAACTCGGATTTGTGGTAATCTCAATTCTACTAAGTGCGAGCAGGGCTGGAAATTTGAAGCAGCCCAGGGAAAATGGACAGTACAGACTAAGCAGTGATATGAGATCAGGATCAGGACGCTGAATAGAGGGAGGATCAATACCAGCTTACCTCGTTGATCAACTGTTCCTCCGAGTCTGATTTGCCAGTGAGCATTTCCCATCCTTCAAGCAAAATGCCGCAGCTACGTGATCTCCATTAACTGTGTCCGACGATAACGACCACCAAGCCTTCATCTTGCTTCTCGCCTTTTCTGATGCAGCTGGTATAGTCCCTGGTACTTGTTGTTGGACTATTCTCCGAAAGTGGAGACGTGAGGAGCGCGTGTCCGTGGAGGATGCGCACCAGCAGAAATTGCGCCTTCTGAAGAACGAAGGCAATCCTGCCTTCACCACTGCTTCAGATATTGAGTCTACTTCATTTTCTGGTGAGGACCTTGAAGCTGGTCTGGGTGGACATGAACAAACCAAGACCCACCTGTCTGAGAGTCCGCTGATGACAAGTGCTGGGTATTTGGAATTCAAGGAACCTTGAGTAGTTGCAATGATGGAGTATGTTGACTATGAAGGGTTAATTTCTACAAATGTAAAAGTTACTTGTTCGCTCACAGTAATCATGAAATCTCCAGCAGCCCCATGTAATGCCCCCTGAGATACCCATTTTGTCGGTATCTGGTCATTTATTGGTGACGAGAGCTTGTTGCTGAATGCAGACTCAGCTGATAGTGTCTGAATGAGGTATGAGAGCGCTCTGAAAAGGCCATCTTGCTCTAAAAATTCATTGAAATATATACCTGCTCAAGAGATAGCTAAAGAAGATGTACACGGCTTATCTTTGATCTCGAGTGAACAGCACAGAAGATATGCAAGGACATCGACTCCTTTATCTGAGTCCAGTAGGTAAGCATGGAATTTCTTAGAGAATGGATCAGACGTCAGATCGGCACTACTGAATAGACAATCTACTTACCTTGCTGAACTCGATGATCTCGCAGAAGAGTGGGGAGAACATAAAAGATATGCGTACTAGTCTCAGGCAGTCCCGGTAGCCGTCAGTTTCAGCTATGTGCTGCAGTTGACAACTTTGTCATTAGTCAAAGTCCAGATGGAAGCAGGCATCACAAACTCACCCTCGTTCTACACAGCTCAGATATTCCTTGGGGGCGACTGCAAAACGCCACCAGTGGTGGCGGCTTTGCCTCATTGCTCAATCATAATCGAAAAGGTGCTGTTAGCGTCTATGGAAGTTTGGCAAACATTGTCGTGTAGAAATCGTCAGCATGATATGCACAAGGTGCGAAGTCAAAGTAAGACTGCCTTGAGAGTGCCCTGTTACTGGTAGGATCAGTGACTTCAAGTTGTACTGTTGACGGTGGACCGCGGCAGTGCATGCTTCCGAACTCCCACAGTTTCAGATAGGCTCGGTGACAAAGTGTAGTGCTGACTCAGCAATCTGAGTTTGAAACCATGAGTTCTGTCAGGACCCGGCGTGCACTACTTATGCTTCTAATAGTATGACCTCAACGTAAACTTTCATTAACTTGCAATTGAATCTCATTCGTTGACAAATGATATGACAGGATATGACTTACATGCACTCTCAGACTAACCAAAGAGAGGGATTCCGTTTCATTATCCTCGATATCCAGCACCACTACATACCAGAAGTCTTCTCCTAAAAAGGGTGCATCTTTAATGAGAGTTATTGCACATGCTTGATATATGTAATGAATGTGAACTGGATAACACAGCCGTTGACAGTAGATATTCCACTCCAGACACTGGCGACATGTTAGTAGCCCCTCGTACCTTCCTGAAAACAATTGTTTACACCGTGACTCTGTGCTTACAGTACGTACAAAGAGAGTCTATGAATTGTAGTGGCGCCGTGACGTATTCTTCGTCTTTGATGCTCCAGAACATTCAGTCATTCCAGCTCTGGACAACCCGGCGGGCCTTTTAGGCTGTTTGCTAACGTCAGCGCGTTTCGGCTACAATGCACACATGAGACAGTGGGGGAAGACTTGAAACAAGTTTACTCACAGGTCAGTCAACCAGCCACCTGTTCCATCACGAGTAGTGATCCAAGAATTTAATTTGATTGCGCCCTTACTGGTGCCCTGGCGGGCCATCCTGAGCATATGTAACTGGCGGACTGCCTCGTCACGCACTTCCACGGTGTGTAAATTGCCAGGGTTGGTGACAAGGTGACGCCTGAACATCACAATGTACTGTAGACAGGGGTGAGTGTTAAATACCAAGTTGTCGACAACAGTACATACCATAGCACATACAGTCGATAGGAGTTGTTCTGGAATTTCATTGTAGTCGTCAAAGAACAGATCCAGCATGGAAATGTTACTACCATCGACAACTGGTCGCAATAGTTGCTGTGCAACCGATATCAATATTGTCGACCTACAATAAGCATTCTGAAACACTGAATATCAGTTGCATAGTCAGAAAATGTTCATAAAAAGATGATGATACCCCAATGTCATCACAGGTAAAGTCAATCGACGTCACAACACTTCTGTAGGACGTCAACCCAGTAAGCTCATTGATGTAACCTGGAATCCTTTGGGAGGATTTGCTCAGAAGATCGTAACCTCCAATGGAAGCTCTATCCAATTTGTCGATGTAGGCAGCTGAGCTGGCTTTCAAACTCTTGATGAATGCACATCGCTCGCTTATTACCTGTAGGTATGCTCAGAGCTATGACTACTAGAATAGAACCAGTACAGACCAATCCGATAGCGTCGAATATATTCAAGTCCTTTCATTGGCCGGTTTGACTGCATTGAAGCCCTGATATAACATGAGCGACTCGACTCGGAGGTAGAGGAGCTTATTCATGTTGGTGCCTACCTTTCTCCAGTGCTTGACCGCAACTCTTCGAAATGGTAACCAACTCTTCTACCACTCGAAGACATCAGTCCTTGTAAGATTGGCTTGTCTCCAAGCCGAACATATTCAAGTAATGTTTGCACCAAGTCCTGGCATCTTGGAGGCACACCCACGTTGCAACGAAGTGCTTCTCCAGATATTCCTGGGTGTACTTGATGCTGATGTGGAACTGTTGGGGGTCACACGAGATATAGCGCCCCTCAACAACATTTGGCATTGTGATGAACATCAGCAGTGGAATGAGAGTGGTGAGCAGGAGTGCGGGCCCATCATATGTATGTGGTGCAACTGCAGGGGGTTTGGACGCTGGTAGCGTTTCCGGAGCTAGTGAGAGTTGCCCGAAGCCTATACTAGTGGGATGGGCAAGGGGAGGCGCTTCAAACACAGTTGTGTTATTGCCCATCCATATCCCTTCACTTAGTGAACTGATGGCTGACATGAAGTCTTCATCACCAGGATCAGCGCTGTAACTCAAGGGGATCATTGTGTCTTGTGGATTGACGACCTTCTAGTATCAAAAGAATCAATTGTTGCATTCGTTGCAATATTAGATGTAGGTACCTGTATGGCTGGCAGTGTGGCGAATTCTTCATCTGTATACATACACATCTTTTTCCATCCGTTTGGGATGATGAATCCCATTTGCTGCCAGGGAAACACAAGCAGTGGGTTAGCGGTTCAATCACCCTTGATAGAAACACTTACCTGACATTGCAAGCTCATCAGTATTCTGTGAAGGGTCTTAACAGGAATTTTCGAGTAGACTGGGATATGAATACCATGACATATACTGGATGGAAAACAGTCTCCAAGCCCGAAGTCTGTATGATATCTTCCTTTATATAAGCTACTTTGAAGAACGAGTTCTTGACATTGTCAAAGTCGAATTGCTAAAATAGCATCAGTTCGACCGAGAATACTATAAAAATGAGAACACACTGGATAGCCAACCCACTCTATAATATCTGAGACGTAGCTGTTTGAATTCGAAGGGGGTGTGTAGATGTAGCCAACTTTAGGACGAGGCTCGGAGGACATGATGAGTTACTCAGACGGTGAGATGGGTTGTTGTACTACATATTCAGTCAGCTTTCTTGAAGTCGGTACTTGCGTCAAAAAAAGGTCCATGAGTCAGACATGTGTATGATCAAGGAGCCAAGATTCCTTGACAAGGGCTCACAAAATTGAATAGCGTTGGCCAGGTTGTGCACCCATTTTGACCAAAGTTGCGGGCTTATTTAATTATGTGTTGGGAGTGATTACTAATTTGGATTCCTGGCTCGAGATCATTGTACAAATATGAATACTTGTTAGGAGGAGTTCAACATTTGACAAATGATGGTCGGCAGGAGACTTGGTTCTTTACTATCAGTTATCGCAAGTCTGGATTATCGCTGGCACCTATTACCTCAATAGCCTTCAATAACACCTTCGGACAGTCACACCCATGTTCAATGGGGTAGTGACATCATGTCATGTTCGCTGTCCGCCTAAAGCAAACTCCAGCGGCCGCTCAACAGCCGCGGTGTTTGATGCTTATCAGTCAATATGTCAGTATCATTTCTCCACCAATTTTGACCATTCAACTTCACAGTATGTATAGAATATTATATTGAGGCAGAGTTGTGCAACACTTTAAATACAAAGTGTCGGAAGCGGTGGTCAATTTAACCCTTTACGTATAACTATAAACTTACATGTCCATGCTCGGCAGCTTGCGGTGATTTGCAGATTTGGCAGTAGATCTGAGTCTTGATCATGGGGCTTGGCCTGGATTACCAATTTAGATTTGTAGCTGAAATTTGGAGAGATACGGTGATCGTACTGTACAAATATGAATAGATGGTCAGCGCTAGCACATCATGACTCTGTTCACTGTTTTGCGGGCTTATTTAATTTATACTTGGAAGTTGGGGGACATTACTAACTTGGATTTGCGGTTCGAATTGCGAACCAACTACCTGGAGACCAGCAATCTAAATGTACGGATATGAATACTGGTCACAAAGTGTCATGGATAGCAGTTCGTTTATGATTGGATTCAAGACTTCCATGTGACTAGTAATTCTACAACAGACAACGTGGACAACAGGCATTGCAGAGGGTAGGTGTACAGTGTGTGAGCCTTCGGGATAACCCGTGAATTTTGCTCAAGTATTTCAAGCCAATCAAAGAGAATTGGGCAGTAAACAAGAAACGAGAACTTCAAGTTCCCAGTGACAATATGTCCTCCACACTTATGCAGCCTACTCTTATACCAACCTCCCCCGCTTGCCTTGAACGTCGTCAAAGCTCACATACTGTTTTGCCGAATCTCATGGGTAATTCCCAAACAACCAACCTCTTGAATTGTGCTGCCTGGCGCAGCAACGTGCCACAATCATGTCCTCGCAATGCATACCCCTCTCCACCTATCTCCCACGAAGCCGTGCAAGAACCACAAACTGTGTGTGTTGTTATTACTAGATACTAAGTAGCATGACCAATGACAATCAACTAGATGGAGTCCTTATGCCTTCCCCCATACTGGGAGACACATCACGATAGTGATCTCACCATTGCTCTCATAAGTGCTCAACGCTTAGAACGTCGGGCAGAGTGTCGACTTATCCGGAGACGCCTGAAGCGCGTCATGATTGAAAATCAACTCTACAGTCATATGGAACAACAAATGAGTCACAAACTTCGTAAAGCTGACACTGGCATTGGTATCTCCCGAGGTGCACTGCGCATGGCTGGCTGTGCACCTGCAGGCATGATATTTTAGGATGCAGATAGCGATGTATCGAGTGTAGTGCCTGATTCAGACATAGATGTATCTTCTTGACAGGACGGTGTCCCATCAGTTGCTGGTCAGGGCGCGTACTATAACTTTTTCGCATTGACATGGTGTACGTTTGTTCTCCTTTTTGTACCTTAGCCTTTCCTGCCCCCATCTTGAAGTACTCAGTTTTTTGATATATATATAATGTATATATGTCATTATTCATTGCGGAGCCACAATCTGATTGTTAGTATGTGCTATGTTTGTGAACGAGAATTGCGACAACTGATAGTATGTCACATATGACCGGTATGACCATTGATCGATTGATTAGGTGTGCACATGTAAACGAAATATTGTGTTACTAATAGGCATCGCTTGTAGTCAGATCAATGATCTCCACATCCCCTTCCTTCTCTTGTCCTACGCAGTCATGGCGCTCAAACATGTGCCTCATCATGATGAGCTTGCAGCAATTGCACCTTGTAAGGAAACGACGGAATTCGTCTTGCGTGAGACCGGGTCGGGTGAAGGAATCTAGTTTCATAAGCCTCTCAAACATTGTGTGAGTGTCATTTCCTCGAGGCTGTCGCCTTTCGATAACATCTGCCAGTTTGATGTTTACAAACAAGCATCAATTCACTGCACACCGACTCGTCCTAGCTTGCTCGTATATGTACCATTCCCATCAACAAACACAATGTCTAGTGGCCTGGCTTCGTCAGGGCCTGCATTATGAAGAAGCACGTTAGCTCAATGGTGCTACTAATGGTTGACATCTTGACAGAGGTGTAGCTCACGTCGTCTTGGGTAACACTTGACAGGTAACCCGATTGAAACATGTAATTTCTCGATGAAAGCTGAATGAAATTATTCATCAGGCAATCTGAACAGGTCATGGCTGTCTAGCATGGGGGTGACTCACCAAAATAACCACACTTGCTCGATGCACAACAGGCAAGGTACTCTCCTGCATTTGGTCCCTGAGTTACCATCACTATTGCCACTTCATGGTGATTACCAGGATCATGTTCATCTAAGAGCAAGCATAGGCAGTGTGGTCCTCGGAATTGGTGAGATTTGCGATACACTACAAGGTCAGAAGGAACGACGCGCTCTCCATCGTCCTTAACTGGCCTGGATCCATGCAAAAAAGTGGGTAAGATGTCTAAGATATTCATAACTTGGCTAACGCACCAATACCACACACACAGTGTTTTTCCGGTCTCATCCAGTTCGAGCATGGCATTCTTCTGGTTGCTGACTAGAGCTGCAAGCTTCATTCGCCGATGCTCTCACTTAAGTTCATCAGCTGCAATACTGGCGTGTACACGATCAGGAGCCATAGTATGCCGGAAGGTCCAACTTGTACAACTGCTCTGAGTCTCACTGTCCTCAGGGCTTTTATACTATTTCATGTGTTTACCTACTGCCAGTGCGTAGTTGGTCCTGTTTTACGGAACTCTGGGTCTATTTCCTAATTAAAATTTGTAGGCTGTTTACGTTCATGTTTCGAAGCTTTCCTGAACCCTAAGTGAGCGCTCTAGTTGGATTCACTTCCACAAATGTAAAACGACACAGCATGATTGGTTTTCTCAGGATACAAGCAGCCTGAGACCGCAAGGCGCCTTGTCAAACTATCCCATACCACTTCCAAGTGACCGTAGTGATACTGCTGCTGGCTTGACGTGCTTCACTGACTTACAATGAATGGCTCTTTCCATCCTCAGAAACCTCTTCTGCGACTCCGGAAGGATACTCAACTATCTGCCCTTGTGGATGAAGCTTTGCTCAGCTGAACACATATGCAAACCATCAAAGGACCTGCAAAAAAGGAAGAAACGTCTTTCCAGTGCACTAGCCAAGGTGAAAGAGGTGTGGACCACAAGAAAAAGGCCATGCCTTGAAGGCCGACGTAACATGACAGCCAAACTCATTTCCTCCTCAACATTTCACCAAGACGTGGCAATTTGGACATCACATGGGCCAGCAGGAGAAAGCGGGGCAAGCCCGGGGCTGGATCATGGGTTTGCCAGCTCAGAATTCAGCTCTGATGAGACTACTGTCGGCAGCATAGAGCGTAATCCAGGATCCGGACCAGGCACTGGAAATGAAAATGATGTGAGTGTTATAGGGTTGTTAAAAGTCCTGCTTTTCACCGAGATTGAAACGGTCTGTTAGGATGGGTGCAGTCCTGCAGAATCTTCGCATGTCATTGATGACGGACGGTCGCTGGCTGAGCGTCGCCCAAGACGCCTTGATCGTCGTCTGCCTGTGCGGTTTCGAGATATTCTTCCTCAACCCCCACCCCCGCCCATGGCCGAGGTGGCAGATCCCCTGCCCACTTCAGATGCAAGTACACTGCTGTCCCGCAGACTTCACTTCTTCCGCACATTTCCTAACGTATTTGGACTTTTGTGTCAGTACTACAGCAATCGCCTGCCAACGCACAACCCAGAAGAGGTTATAACTCTGAAGAACCTCACTCTGACACATTTAGACCTAGAATGTCTCGATCTTAGTATGCCCACTCCTATAATGCAGCATGACAGCTTGGAGGCCCCAGACACCTTCTATCCGTACCCAAATAAGTCCTCATTTCTCCTTGGTGATTGGTATTGGAACGGGGGTATCCAGAAGTCGCAAAAGAGCTTCATGGAACTCTTACGGATTATCGGCGATCCTGAGTTTCAGCCCAAAGATATCTGTACCATGCGCTGGAACTTTATCAACTGTCAGCTTGGATCTACTGTGGAAGATGCAGAGGGGCGCACACTCTTTGAAGGTGCTGGATGGAAGAAGAACCCAATCAAGATTACAATACCTGTTCACAATCGTGCGGATGGCTCAGGCATTCACGATTACCTCACCACAGAATTTTATCATTGATCGCTGGTATCCGTCATCAAGGAAAAGCTTGGAAATGAAAAGCATGACCGACTCTTCCACTACCAGCCCTACAAATTACTTTGGAATAACGGACAGTCTGAGACACCCATTCGTGTTCATGGTGAACTCTATACTTCTGATGCCTTCATCCAGGCACACCATGAACTTCAGGAGTCGCCACCAGAGCCTGGGTGTACCCTAGAGCATGTGATTGTCACCCTCATGTTTTGGTCCGACTCAACCCACCTAGCTTCCTTTGGCAATTCAAAACTCTGGCCCTGCTATATGTTTTTTGGGAACGAGTCGAAGTACAGAAGGTGCAAGCCTTCTTGCCGTCTATGTAGCCATGTCGCCTACTTCAACCATGTAGGTGTCCATACCCTCTTTAGTTACTTTCGTACTCAAGCCCACGCCATCTTCTAGCTTCCAGATAGTTTTAAAGATTTTGCTATAAAGCACTTTGGCGGTAAAGGCCCCAGTGCTGACTTTATGGCACACTGCCATAGGGAACTTTATCACGCACAGTGGAAGATTCTACTGGATAGCAAGTTTGTTGAAGCGTGCAAACACGGAATTGTGGTACGCTGTTGTGATGGAATCGAGTGTCGCTTTTACCCTCGGATATTTACATATTCTGCTGACTACCCAGAAAAGTGAGTCAAATTTCATACCTAGAGAGCCGATGAACTAAATGTGTTGCTCATTCCATTGTCAGGGTGTTAATAGCTACCATATGCAATCTGGGTGGGTGCCTGTGCCCTAGATGCCTCATCCCAAAATCCCGCATTCTTGCGCGTAGATGACCATGCTAGGCAAAGTAAAATCGCCACCTCCCGCTCACTTATTTATGACGGTGGCTATGGCGTTCGCAGCAACCCCGTTGAAAGCCTACTGAAAGAGCACTCGTTGGTGCCCACCTCTGTGAGTTTGAATCAATGCTAAACTCTTGTATGAATGTTGACCGCTGCCTTTTAGAATGCATTTTCAGAGAGGCTGGGATGCATTGGATTCAATTTGTTTGCTATGCTCATCATAGACCTCCTGCATGAGTTTGAGCTTGGGGTCTGGAAAGCCCTGTTTATCCACCTGATACGTACAGTGGCTCAAAAAACTGTCCGCATGTTTTGACATTTTTCACTATCTATGATATTGTGTGAGAATGAACAAATTCCTCAAGGACATACTTATACCACATTGTAGTATGGCTTCAGGGCTTTTATTTGAGCCCTACACCGTGGGAATCGGCGGAGATATGGTGGAGATATAAGGCTTATAAAATGATGACTCATGTGGACAGTTTTTTGAGTGTATATTAAAACTATATAAATCATTATTTATGACACCATAAAAATCATGCCACTATTATATAAATTATAAAGTGGTGTCATTATGTTATTTTATGACTATATCTAACTATATAAACCAGAATATCTCATGTATCATAGTCATAATCACCGTGAAAGCCATCTCCTCTGCTCAAAGAGATAATATCCTCTCTCTGTCTTATGCTGGCCTCTCTGCTTGCCAAATTTTCTCTAGAACTGGAATATGCAAGTCCACTGTGGCCAAGTTCATCAAAGAAAGCCACCCAGACAAGGAAAACTCTTGTGGAGGACGTCCATCCAAGCTTACCTCTACTGACAAAAGGGCTATTATCCAACATATCACTACAGGAAAGGCTGATAATGCTGTCCAAGCCACCCATTATATCAATTCCACCATCACTACCCCCTGTCTCTTCACAAACTGTGAGGAATGTTCTCAAGGCAGCTCATCTCAAGGCAGTAACAAAGAAGAAAAAGCCTCTTCTCTCCATCAAACATAGGCAGAGAAGACTAGCCTTTGCCTTAGCTCATCAACACTGGACTGTAGAGGACTGGAAGCATGTTATATGGTCAGATGAGACCAAAATCAATAGGATTGGGTCAGATGGGAAGGTGTATGTATGGAAAAAGAAGGGAGATGGCCTAACAGACAGAGAGGTTAATGGGACTGTCAAGTTTGGAGGAGGTTCTTTAATGGTATGGGGCTGTATGGGATGGAATGGTGTGGGAATGCTTGCTGAGGTTGAGGGGAAGATGAATGCTGAGCAGTATGTGGACATTTTAAATGACCACTTGCTGCCTAGCTTGGCAGAATCAGGGATTGATGAAGAAGATATCATTTTCCAACAGGATAATGATCCCAAGCACACATCCAGAAGAGCTAGGGAATGGTTTGAAGAACATAACATCAATGTTCTTGACTGGCCAGCACAGTCTCCTGATGTCAATGTCATTGAACATCTCTGGGGAACACTCAAGAAAAAGCTTCAAGCCTATGAAAACCCCCCTAAAGGAGTATGGGAGCTTTGGGAGAGAGTAGCAGTGGAATGGGGGAAGATCACAGCTGAGGATTGCCAGAAATTAATTGAGAGTATGCCTAGAAGGATAGAGGCAGTAATTAAAGCCAAGGGAGGTCATACAAAATACTAGAATACCTGGTTATTACTGTAAAATACTTGAGTCAAAAAACTGTCCGCATGAGTCACCATTTTGTGAGCCTTGTATCTCCACCATATCTCCACCGATTCCCACGGTGTAGGGCTCAAATGAAAGCCCTGAAGCCATACTACAATGTGGTATAAGCATGTTTTTGAGGCATTTGTTTGTTCTCACACAATATTATAGATAGTGAAAAATGCCAAAACATACGGACGGTTTTTTTGAGCCACGTACATATAGCAGTGGAACAATCACCCAGGGCGTGGAGCTTGTAGGTTTGTAGATTAAATGTCTTTGGTCGCTGAACTGTCTGAGGCGTTGACTTGACCGCCACTGCCTCTCCGCTGCCAACTAGGTTCCTTAACTTCTGGCGCTGGCGACGCTCTGCTTCCCGCTTTAGTTCGTGAGTCTTGAAAGCCGAGCAGGTAATTTTCTGGAAATGGCGAAACTGCTTTCCCAGGGTAGCGGTTGCAACGTCAAGGAGTTTAAGCGTCTCATCGGTATGCATGCGCAGTTTTGCCAGGGCATGCCAGCTTGCGCACGTACTAAGCAGAGTTAAGACGTTTCTGTTGTGTGGCTCTGGCAGGAGGCCGTCAAATACCGGGATGGCACACTGATTGAAGGCATATGCATCATGGAGAGCCATTAAAAAGAAAGTTGAACCTTACCTGAAGAATGTCATCAAAGTCACGAGCAGCCATCTTCTTCATTTCAGATGTATTTGAAGCAAACTTTCGAATGGTATCACGTCCAAAGGTGGGCATGAGTCTGTAGCTTAAGTACTCTGTTGTTCAGAGTAGACACAGGCTCATTGAACAAAACCTACTGACGGTCAAGCTCATGAACCAGTCCATCACTCTTGCCAGCAGCGCTGAGGATACAGTGGCTCAAAAAACCGTCCGTATGTTTTGGCATTTTTCACTATCTATAATATTGTGTGAGAACAAACAAATGCCTCAAAAACATGCTTATACCACATTGTAGTATGGCTTCAGGGCTTTCATTTGAGCCCTACACCGTGGGAATCGGTGGAGATATGGTGGAGATACAAGGCTCACAAAATGGTGACTCATGCGGACAGTTTTTTGACTCAAGTATTTTACAGTAATAACCAGGTATTCTAGTATTTTGTATGACCTCCCTTGGCTTTAATTACTGCCTCTATCCTTCTAGGCATACTCTCAATTAATTTCTGGCAATCCTCAGCTGTGATCTTCCCCCATTCCACTGCTACTCTCTCCCAAAGCTCCCATACTCCTTTAGGGGGGTTTTCATAGGCTTGAAGCTTTTTCTTGAGTGTTCCCCAGAGATGTTCAATGACATTGACATCAGGAGACTGTGCTGGCCAGTCAAGAACATTGATGTTATGTTCTTCAAACCATTCCCTAGCTCTTCTGGATGTGTGCTTGGGATCATTATCCTGTTGGAAAATGATATCTTCTTCATCAATCCCTGATTCTGCCAAGCTAGGCAGCAAGTGGTCATTTAAAATGTCCACATACTGCTCAGCATTCATCTTCCCCTCAACCTCAGCAAGCATTCCCACACCATTCCATCCCATACAGCCCCATACCATTAAAGAACCTCCTCCAAACTTGACAGTCCCATTAACCTCTCTGTCTGTTAGGCCATCTCCCTTCTTTTTCCATACATACACCTTCCCATCTGACCCAATCCTATTGATTTTGGTCTCATCTGACCATATAACATGCTTCCAGTCCTCTACAGTCCAGTGTTGATGAGCTAAGGCAAAGGCTAGTCTTCTCTGCCTATGTTTGATGGAGAGAAGAGGCTTTTTCTTCTTTGTTACTGCCTTGAGATGAGCTGCCTTGAGAACATTCCTCACAGTTTGTGAAGAGACAGGGGTAGTGATGGTGGAATTGATATAATGGGTGGCTTGGACAGCATTATCAGCCTTTCCTGTAGTGATATGTTGGATAATAGCCCTTTTGTCAGTAGAGGTAAGCTTGGATGGACGTCCTCCACAAGAGTTTTCCTTGTCTGGGTGGCTTTCTTTGATGAACTTGGCCACAGTGGACTTGCATATTCCAGTTCTAGAGAAAATTTGGCAAGCAGAGAGGCCAGCATAAGACAGAGAGAGGATATTATCTCTTTGAGCAGAGGAGATGGCTTTCATGGTGATTATGATTATGATACATGAGATATTCTGGTTTATATAGTTAGATATAGTCATAAAATAACATAATGACACCACTTTATAATTTATATAATAGTGGCATGATTTTTATGGTGTCATAAATAATGATTTATATAGTTTTAATATACACTCAAAAAACTGTCCACATGAGTCATCATTTTATAAGCCTTATATCTCCACCATATCTCCGCCGATTCCCACGGTGTAGGGCTCAAATAAAAGCCCTGAAGCCATACTACAATGTGGTATAAGTATGTCCTTGAGGAATTTGTTCATTCTCACACAATATCATAGATAGTGAAAAATGTCAAAACATGCGGACAGTTTTTTGAGCCACTGTAACTTTGGCACGACTGACTCATACAGCACTGAGCTGGTGAGTGAAAACATCAGCCTATTATATCCTCCACCAATTTCTCGTGCAATGATAGGGAGAGCTAGAACACCGCACCTCAAAGGCAAGGTATCGTCGAACGGACCGAAAAGAATTTGTGGAACAGATAACGAGGATCGAGTGACGCGAAGCTCACATACTCAGCATCTGTGACAAGCAGCTACCACAGGGTGTGATGGTGGAGGAGGAGGAAGAAGAAGTTGCCACCTCACCTGAGGCTCATTTCCATGTTGGAAAATATCAGAATTATCCCGAGAACATCCCACTGTTCCTCCAAAGGCACGTGGGGGATCCTGCTGTCAAAGTGAGCGCTGCATAGTAATTATGTCAACTTGAATGCAAGGCGGTGCTAATTCTGAGTGACAGGACTTTTTACCTAAGCTTCAGTGCTTTCTCCTCCCTAAGATCAAGGAGGTCTTAACCAGGGAGGGCGCCCTGCATACTGACGCTTCTGCCAGTGCTACGGTCCCAGGAGCTACCCCAGTATGCTCAGACTGGGAAGGACGTGTTTTTATCAAGGCCGATTGCATGTATAGGCACAACTTGATGCAGCTTAACTACACCATGCATGACGTCCACCGAGTGCAGGACGTCATAAATCCATCGACTTCTCATTGCAACGTCATGCTCTTGGGCCAAGCTGGGGAGGATTCAACCGCCCATGAAGGTCACCCTTACCTTTATGCTCGCGTACTTGGCATCTATCATGTCAACACCACTTATGTTGGCCCCGGCATGGTTGGTTACCACTCACATCAAATCGACTTCTTGTGGGTGAGATGGTACCAATACCTTGACATCGGATGCCCCAGTAGGCAAGCGCCTTTAGATCGTGTCTACTTCTCGCCTACCGCAGAGCCAGACTCATTTGGGTTTGTTGACCCTGATGATGTCCTTAGGTGCTGCCACATCATTCCATGCTTTTCTCAAGGCTTGCAGCACTTGGACGGTAGGGGCATCTCACACTGTGCTCAGGATAAGTTGGACTAGAAGTCCTATTACATTAACCGGTGTGTCCAACATCGCTACTAACGGAGCTCCCCTGACTTGATGGCTTAGTTTTGTAGACCAGGATGCCTTTATGCGGTATCAATGGGGGTTGGGAGTTAGGCACACCTATGCTCATGCCACCATGTGGTGTCAAGAAGATGAACCAACAGTTATGCAGGACTTTGAGGACCTTGAAGAAGGGGGTTATGGCTCAGGTTGTGGCGCGTCCAACTCAGGCAGTGACTCAGAGTCGGAAGAGTCAGACTCTGACTGGGGCTCTGCTTCAGATGGAGGTTGTGATAGCGATAGCGACTGGTCCCTTGACTATGAGAATTAGGTTGGTTGATGCAGATAGGTGCCTCTGGTACAATGGCACAAGGTTTTGTCTTTCAAATTTCAACGCTTGGTTCCATGCTCCTGGTTCTCGTCATGACTCGGTTGGGCATTTACATAATGTGCGCTAGTTGAAATAAGATCCTTCTGTTAATCTTTATTATTATACAGTCTGAACGACGGTAGACACATAAGTTGTACTACATACGATTGAGTACCACCGTCATGACCGGCACCTGCTAAACTTCATTCACCCTGCCACACCACTCCAAGATTGACCAGCCTAGCTACACCACTTGAGTATATGCCAGGCTGGTCACGGGCCTATTATCAACCAACTTTCAGCTGCCAAGGTTCCCAAGTTGTGACATAGTAATAGTAGGATGGTCATCATGAGGTTTCGGAAAACCGGAAGAATCCACTTGCACTAATAATACGTAACGCTTATCGATGACTCAGATCGAACTTTGACGTTGCAGTAGTGCTCACTGGCAGGCTAGCACTGCACCGCCAGCAGTAGCACTGCATAGTGACAACCACCAGTCTTTGTGCAAGATCACAGACTGGCGCTGTCTCTGGTACAGAGGTACATTGTTCAAGTTGGTTGCTCCAAATTCAAACAGCCATACCTTATCATGACCTGTCCAACAGATCCATTAAGAGTCATCAATCATGATGGGTATTAGGGTACAAGAAATGTCGAACTTGAAAAACTCTCGCCACATAAGTGCTGACTTTAAGAAAGCTGACTGAAAATGCAGTACAACAGCCGATTTTACCTTCTGAATACTCATCATGTCCTCTTGTCCCAAAGTTGGCTAGCATCTACACACCTTTAACAATTCGACTTTGACAATGTTAAGACTCGTTCTTCAAAGTGGCATACCTTCAACTCGGTCCCAGGCAAAGGCCGTGAGTGATTTTATACTTGCAGCAGGCGATAGCTACTGATGCTCTGGGATTGTAATACAGGAGTGCAACTGATCCGTAGGTACACTACAGATGTCATGTCGGGCGAACGATCCATGCTCTGTGCACCTTCCAAGCCCTTCTCACCAATGAGATTTTATGGATGAGGGAATTGGCACTCCTGACGAAAACTTCACCACAGAGTATTTTATTTTCCTGCAGCGCTATGTGCACTGCGTCTAATCCTGTGTATTTTCTCAGGGAACGGCTCCTCAAGTCTGTAGCAGGCCTGGAAGAGTGGTTGATGCAAGGTGGAGATGATGAGGTTGACCTCATTGCAGAGTTAGCAAGTGTCATGGTTTATACGTCCTACTTATCCCACATATCATCAGCTCACCAAAGGCACATCTGGAGCAAGAGGTGACGACACCAAAAGTCTCAAGGGCAGTGTGCTCAACTGGATCACCCCAAAGGGACACAGAATACTGATGAGCTTGCGATGTTGGTAAGTGTTTCCATCAAGGGTGATTAAACTGCTAATTCACTGCTTATGTTACCCTGGATTGCATACTCCATCAACAGCGAGGAGTTCCTGAAGTTCCATGCTGAGCAGGAGTAGTTTGCTGCTCGGCATGTCGAGCTTTATATGTGTTACCTAAACGAGGACTCTTGTGCTGGGAGATCACGTTTGACAAGGAGAAAGCAAACTCCGTTCAATTGCAAGCTCGCCTAGATTCTGTTATGGAGCATGGTGATGCATACATTGGCGATATTCAACTTGCTTTTGACCCGCTTAAGGCTTCCCCCTTTCCGAACTTTTCACTTATAGGCAGTACATCATCAACTGTTGCGGCGCTAGCAAGGGTGATACTTATGTTCTTACCAAGCAATTTGGCCAACATCTCATCGACAATGCGAAGGAAGTGATTGGTCGTCCTCCGGTGTACAATGACCGTGTCGTTGCGTAAGTGAAGTTTCCAGGATACATGATCAGCGATCTGATTTCTTCTAGATATGATGTCTCCTTTGTCGGCATGATCTTGCCTGGTGATGAGCTGAAGGTCAACATCCGCCATGTCGGCATGCGCGATGGCAACATGGTCGTCAAGGTCGAAATGTTGAACCAGCGCGAAGAGAATATCCTCGAGGGAACTGCAGAGGTTGCGCAGGCTACCACCATCTACGTCTTCACTGGTGTGAAAGAGTAATAGCGACTAGGCTGGTTAGAAACTAGCGCTACTTATCCAAATAGGCGCGAGCGTAGTATTTGACCCAAGAGGACTGCTATTGAAGCAACTCCCTTCAAGTATGCAAGGGTAGCGATGATGCGAAGGGCTAATAACCTATAGCGACCTAAGACCAAAAACCAATGAGTAGTACTGTAGCGATCAGCGACTAGCGGCAAGTGAGTTCCGACAGAGAAACGTGCGTATAAGTGAGGAGCGCTATGAAAGTTGTCCTATGCGATAGCGCTATGCGACGTCCGACTAGCGACAGCGAGAAGAAATCAAAAAAGGGAAAGCGAGGAATAAGGTATGATAGTGCAAGTGGAATGCCCGATAGCGACTAGATTATAGCTCGACTACTGATAGCGATCCCGATGTTGCGAAAATTGAACTTATGAGGGAACTTTAGCGATGCGCACTCAAGGCAAGTCAAGCGACACGCGATCAGAGAGATTGGCAAGAGCAGAATTGATTGCACCAAAACTAGGATATAGCGACTAAAGTGACTCCGACACCAGCAAAGGTCCGGGGAAGGGAAGTACTGTACTGTATGTGCGACGGGTCATTTTATCATACTGTGTAAAAGTTTGGGAATGTGTAGGCGAGAATAGTAGCGATACTGGCGAGGGCACAATGTAGCGACAGGTAATAAGACATGCAGTGCAGCGGAACATGAGGATACATGTAATAAGACCTGCGACTGATGAGTAGCAACATTGAAGGGAAAAATAACGCACCAGCGGAGGTAGGTGGACATAGGCAGGACATGGGAGGACGGAATACCTAGGCATTGGGCCGGGCAGCGCGCTATGGGAGAAAAGTGGTTCCAAAGCAGATAGCTTGGGAGCTGAATAGCGCTGGTGACTAGCAGCTTTACTCCTTTCCTCAAGGTAAGGCAAATTGTGCCTATGACACTCATACGCGCCTAGCGCTGGTATGATTGTCACACCGGCCAGGGCTCACAGGAGCCTGGCATGGGAATGGATTTGTACAACAGCTCCTCCGCTGCTCGCGCAGTCTGGGAAGGAGTTGATGCACACTTGCTTGCCGTGTATGGCTTCTCCATCGTTGAGATCGTCAAGGACAACCCGAAGGAGAAAACCATCCACTTTGGTGGTATCAAGGGTCAGGTAATCCGCCAGAGGTACATGGACATGACCTACGACACCATGGACATGGCGTTGTTAAAACTTATCCCCTCTTCGTCGACATTGACATTCGTACCCCAAAATATACCTTCAGCCACCCCAGTGGTCTCCTTTTTGCTACTCAATTCACACAGATTGCGCTAGTCATGACTGAGAAAGCTGCATTCGAAGATATGTGCGCCAAGGGCTTCGTCCAGAAGAACTGCGCGTTTGCTGGACACTCGCTTGGTGAATACTCTGCTCTTGCCTCCATGGCTGATGTCCTCCATATATTCGCTCTTGTCGATGTCGTTTTCTATCGTAGGATCACGATGCAGCGGGTTATCGAGCGTGATGCTCACAACCGCTCTAACTATGCCATGTGTGCTGTCAACCCCAGCCGTATCTCAAAGACTTTTACTGATGCGGCACTTCGTGAGGTCGTCGACACCATTTCCACTCGTATGAGCACAGTTGCTTGAGATCGTCAACTACAATGTTGAGGTCAGTGTTTTCTCACTTTGAGCTCTTTCTCGTCGCTAACATGTATTTTGCACAGGGTCAACAATACATTTGTGCTGGAGCTTCTAGCTCTTCAAACGATGACCAATGTCTTGAACTACCTGAAAGTTCAGAAGAACGACATTCACAAGGTTTGTGCTTCATCTTATCGAAATAATTGCAATTTACTGTCAGTATCTACAGCTGACTGAGCAATTCACCTGTCGAGAAGGTCAAGGAGATGCTTGGGGACATTGTGATGGAGTGCTTCGAGTGCGCCAAAGAGCAGCAGTGAGCAGAGGGCTACATCAAGCTTGAGCATGGCTTTGCAACCATTCCTCTGCCTGGTATAGATGTGCCCTTCCACTCTTGTTACCTCTGGGCTGGTGTCATGCCCTCCCGTGCATGTAAGTCATGAACGTACATTACACCGACCCATCTAATCACTTTCTCCAGACCTCTCGAAGAAGATCAACCCGTCGCTTCTTAACCCTGACATGCTTATCGGAAAATACATCCCGAACTTGGTCGCCAAGCCATTCGATATCACGCGCGAGTACGCACAGCTCATCTATAACCAGACATCTTCCCCATCTCGACAAGGTTCTCAAGAGGTGGGATCAGGACGATTGGACATCCTCTGAGCAGCGTCAGAAACTTGCATACACTATTCTCGTCGAACTCCTCTCGTACCAGTTCGCATCTCCTGTCCATTGGATCGAAACCCAGGACTTATTGTTCACTCATTATCACTTCGACCGTTTCATTGAGCTTGGTCCTTCACCTACGCCTACTGGCATGGCCACCCGCACTCTCAAGGCCAAATATGAGGCGCAAGATGACACCGTGAGCCGCAAAATAATCATCCTTTGCCACGCCAAGAATGACCGTGAGATTTACTACCAGTTTGAAGATGAAGTTGTCGCGACTCCTGCTGCTGCTGAAGCTCCTGTAGAATCAACACCTGCCCTCGCAGCTCCTGCTGCTGCACCAACGCCTGTCGTAGCTTCACCTTTGGCTGGTCCCGCTGCCTCCATTGAGGATGCCCCCATCAAGGCCAACAATATCCTCATGTCCATCATTGCACAGAAGCTCAAGAAGAAGATTGAGGAGGTTTCTGTGAGCAAGACCATTAAAGATCTCATCAGCAGCAAGTCGACTCTTCAGAACGAGATTCTCGGTGATTTGCAACTTGAATTATCATCTGCACCTGAGAAGGGTGATGAGCTGCCTTTGGAAGAGCTCGGTTCTGCTCTCAGTGTCGGCCACTCCGGTGCTCTTGGCAAGTACACTTCGGGCTTGGTGTCCTGCTTGATCGGTGGCAAGATGCCTGGTGGCTTCACCTCATCTACCATCAATGCGCACTTGGCAAAGACTTGGGGACTGGGATCATCACGCGCTGACGGCGTCCTTCTACTCGGAACCACAATGGAACCTGCGAAATGTCTCTCTTTGGAGGCTGAGGGCAAGGCGTGGCTTGATACTGTTGTCACCATCCATGCTCAGCATTCTGGGATCTCTCTCTCCAGTGGAGGTGCTGGAGGTGCCGGCAGTAGTTCCGGAGGTGGTGCGACCATCAACAGCAAGGGGTTCCTGAAGTTCCGTGCTGAACAGGAGCAGTTTGCCACTCAGCACGTTGAGCTTGCTCAGTTGCAGAGGGAGATGCATGCTCTCGAGGCCGATGGTAGGGATGTACACGAGGAATACGTCTCATCCTGTGCTACCGATATCGAAAAGAAGCTCACGGCAAATCTCATCACCTGTCCGATGGATTGAAACCCAGGACTTGTTTTTCACTCAGTATCACTTCGAATGTTTCATCGAGCTTGGTCTTTCACCTACACTTATTCATGTGAACAACGGTCACCATCTACATTCGAACGGTCCCTCCTTAGATTCTAACTCGTGATCCCCAACAGCTTTTTGCTTCCCTGAGCTCTCGCCACGCATCCTCTAAATACTTCAGTGTTTCTTGCAGTTGTTGCTCCCTCCGCAATGCCATCAATGTGAGCCAACATTTGTCCACAATGGTAGTCTGAACAGGGATGGGTGGTACGATGGAGCGATTCTGGATGTGGTTCTGGGCCGTCTCCATCGCAGTATTCCACAAACCCTGCGTGATTTCGTTAATTCAACCTGTATAATACGAGATGATCACTTACTATTGCAGACTCGCTAATGATAAGTGGTCCCGGCACTTGAAACATTGCAGGTAGGACCTGATTTTGATGAGTTCGGTGGCCTCAGGTAAGTGAACATGAAACACTCACGAGATCAGCGTTGTAATTGTTGTCTGCCATGGTGTACTAGGTAGTAATGAAGAGGTTGTGGTTGTGGTATTGATCTGATAGATGTGGAATTCTGCTGGATGCATGAGAGCTGTATATTAAGTTCAGCTGTTATTTACGTAGGCAAAAAAATGCTGCAGCCTGGGATCGAACTCGAGGCTGCTACAAAGACATTCCCTAACTCAAACTCAACAAGGGCCACTGTGACCGATCGAGCTCTATCTCGATTTCTGGAGAATACAAGACGTTTTGGCCAGCAGTAGCAGATGCTGACTGGCTAGCAATAATGTCGACATGCATGGCAGCTTCTTGTCTTCATATGTGCAACCAGGTGAGCGCCCACTCACTCATCTTTCAACACCACAACCACCACATGAGCTTTCCATAGCAGAATAGCTTGAAACATCCATCTGTCTATCCCATCTTCATCTTGCTTCGCACTCTATCAATTGACAACTCGATCATTCCGCAACCCAAGTTCACAACTTACATGCTTTGGTTCAAATCACTGTACATTGTTCCTCAAGATAGGCATCACCTGGATGGTTTCTAACAGCACCCTTGAACCCAGCTAGTACTTTTATTTGATTCATTGCATCTCGCATATAGCAACCTTTGTCGACAAGTGACGGTCAATGTTAGTACTTCTGTCTCTTATCTCTCACATGCTCTCTGACCTCTTTGACAGTCCTTCAAGGAACTTGGGTGAAGCTGTCCGAGGTCGGTGTCAAGGGTGCTCAATATAACTCCCCTGAAGAGACGAATGTCAAGCGGCTAGTAGGAACGTTCTTTTTCTCGCGCAAGCATATGAAACGTTGCATGGCTAAATATTTCTTTGCATCGCTTGTCTACCAGTCTACTAGTTTGCCACCAATTTTCCAAGCATCCGGCAGGATGTGAATAGAGCGATCCGCAACAATCCCGCTCTACTAGACTAATACATGCCTCTCTGCGTCCAGATGGAGGCTATATTTCTTAAGCCTCTCCAGTCGCTTCGACTCAGATTGCGCGGGTGTCCACCTTTGTTGTTTGTCGTCGATGCCCTTGATGAATGCACATCTGAACCCGAGCTTACCGATCTAATACTTTCCCTTGCGCAGGCTCTCCGTGATCCTGATTTTCCCGTAACCCACATTCTGCTCACAAGTTGCTCGGAACCGCATATCAGAAAAGTCGTGCAAACCAAAGAGGCGCGCGAGATACCCGTGAGAACTTCAGGGGAGGATGGCATCATCTTGTTAGACGGCACAGACATTGACGATGATACCTGTACTTTCTTGCAGCATTCCTTCAGAGAGCTAGAAAATCGCCATCCCGATTTCCCTCAGCCATTGATGGATGACCTTACGAAGCTGCTGAGCCGAGCGGGCAGACGTTTCATCGTGGTGTCTATGATGAAGTGTTTTTATTGACAATGAAGACAATGATCCCCACAATCGATTGCAGCTGATGCTCGAGCTGACGAGCGAGCTACTTCCAGGAATGGACATGTACAAGTTGTACGACCGTATGCTCTCCATGTATACCAATCCCAAGTGGGCATACATGCCCTTGTCCCTCGTTGCTTCCCTCACAGGTCCTCTGCCCATCTCGCAAATCTCAACACTCTTGGCCCTGTTTGGGCAGGGGTGTGAAGACAACGCTGATACAGCTATGGTCTGTCATGGATATTCCTACAGACAGCACTCTCCCTGTGAATATCTATCACTCATCCATTTGCGACTATGTTTTCATTCAAACTGCGGCCTCCCCCAAGTACGCGATACCTGTATCATCTCACACCCTACACACACGTTCCTCTCTCCGCCTGATGAAGGCGATTCCAAAAATGCACCGTTACTGATAATCTGTAATATCTCAGTCTTCCAGGTACATACCACTTGTAATCTATTTCTACGTCCTTGATGCAAGCAATGTGCCCGCTAGCCGGCTCGGCCCTAGTAGATAACTACTTTACAAAATACACTATGTTCAGAATCGTATTTGTTTATCCCGTGCTTGTCCTATGACATTTTGTCAAACATCATCTATGATTTGGATACCTGCGAGATAATTAAATACTTGTGTCAGAATGATAGTTGTCTTGCACATTCTTATCTCCCACCGCAATTTGGCTCATGCTTGTATATTACTTTGTCATAGAACAATCATACTTAAAAGACAATGCGCATTTCTCTCAGAATTGTAGAGTTCTTGCCTGATCTTATCCCATCACACCACTCTGCTCGTGCTTGTATATTATCTTATCTTATTATATAATCAGACATAATGTGATAAAATTTTGGTCCGATTTTGCCAACTCCATCTACACAAATAATGTCCTCCCCGATTTCCTGATGACAGACCAGCCGCCTTAATACGTCGTTCACGAGCAAATACACCCTGATGAAAGCAATCGATCAGCTTTCCCGTGGAACAGAATGGCAGTTAAAGAGAATAACTGTACAGGGCAACAAACTCACCAATAACGGGCAGTGTAAAACCAAGGACCTTGAGCTGTGGCTGCGGGACCCAGTAGACTGCATCCATGAGCTCATGGCGAATCCTGAGTTTGATCACATGGTGTCATATGTGCCAGAGAGAGTGTTTGCAGATGTGGAGGGCAAGACAAGATGGTATGATGAAATGTGGACAGGTGACTGGTGGTGGGAGATGCAGGTAAGTGCGGGCATCTACATGTTGTGAAAAAATGCACTAAAGCCGTTCCCACAGGGAAGATTGCCTCAAGGGGCAGTTGTTGCACTGGTGATCCTAGCATCCGATAAGACTTTGCTGTTGCAGTTCCAGGGAGACCAAGAGGTTTGGCCCATCTACCTGAGCCTCGGGAACATATCAAAAGATATCCGATGTCAGCCATCCAAACATGCCACAATCCTCATCGCATACTTACCAATCTCGAAGTTAGAATGCTTCATGCGAGATACACGTTTGGTCGAACGTTACCGTCTCTTCCATTATTGCATGTCACCTGCCCTGATCGTCAAGTAAGGCGGATGTATCCCGTCGTGGCAGCATATATTGCTGATTTTCCGGAGCAGTGCTTGGTGGCGTGCTGCATGGAAAACAGGTGCTCAAAGTGTGTTGTGGGCCGCAACGAGCATGGGGATATGAGGACGTCGCCAATGCGCAATCGAGACTCCATGGTTGAAAGCCTGCACTTGCACCTGTGATGGTGAAATGGGGAATGATCAGTTTAAAGGAGAACTAGGACTACGAGCCATCTACTCACCGTTCTGGGCAACACTCCCACACAACAACATCTTCTCATGTATCACCCCCGACATTTTACATCAGCTGCACAAAGGAGTTTTTAAGGATCACATTGTTAGCTGGTGCTCCGATATCATAGGCGAGGAAGAACTTGATGCACAGTTCAAGGCGATGATGTTGTATTCAGGACTCCGACACTTCAAAAAAGGCATCTCCAAGCGTAAACAATGGACGGGGGCAGACTACCAAGAGCTGCAGCATGTCTTTCTCAGTATGATTGCTGGCGCGGTTGACCATAAAGTTCTGACAGCAGTGTGTGGCGTATTAGATTTTATTTACTATGCGCAGTATCGGATGCACACAGAAGACACACTTGCCCGTATGCACGCTGGCCTCGCCTCATTCCATGCTAATAAGAACGTCTTCATCGACCTCGGGGTGCAGGAACACTTCAACATACCGAAAATTCACTTGATGATGCATTACAACGACACCATTCGCGTTCTCGGCAGTGCGGACGGTTTCAATACTGAACTTCCTGAAAGGCCGCACATTGATTTTGCCAAGCGGGCATACCGTGCGTCGAATCGCCGCGACTATGTCATCCAAATGACTACCTGGCTACGGCGACAAGAGTCCATCCACATCCAAGATGCCTACCTTCGATGGTGGGGTTCCCAGCACCCTGTCAATCAAGGTTCAAACTCGCTGGAGCAAGACTCAGATGCCAGCGGCTCTGATTCGGATTCGGATGGCACAGGACCTGGACAATTTTGTATTGACTTGCCTTGTCAGGTACAACGGTTCACAATGGTGACAGGTTCACACGGCTACTTTGTCCCCAGGACATGTCCCTTTCCGAATTCGACGATCCAGCGCTTGCTTAACGAGCATGGTGCTTCACTTTTCATTCCGTCTCTTGAAGCATTTCTTCGCATCCATGTACCGAGTTGGTCGCACCGAAAACTCACACCACAAGACCGGGTCAACGTCTACAAATACCTCAAGATTCTCTCTCCAGCACAACCCCATATCAACAACAGAAAGTGTCTGTTCAAGGTCCGTGCGTCACCAGTTATTCCTGCGACGGATGTGAGGAGACCACCAGCGCCTGCACACTTTGACAGTGTGCTGGTGATTGAAGATGAGAATGAGTACAGCGGTGAAGGTATATCCGGTGAGCATTGTAAATTGGTTGTGGGCTTGCCAGTGCTCTGACCTGTGACTCAGGTCTTAGAGTGGGTGAAGTAAGGGTTGTTTTCAAGCTTCCATCACGTCTCGGGAATTTTCCTCACCCCCTGGCATACATTCATTGGTTTCGGCCGCTTCAAAGCTTTGATGAGATTTTACACAGCTTCCGCCTCACTAGCTCTTCACGTCAGCATGGTCCTAATGCACTGGTGGTACCAGTTCATCAAGTTCTTCGCCCATGCCATCTTATTCCTTGGGTTGGTCGAGAGTCGGAGGTGTGAGGAGAATTTTATTTTAATAGGTACATCAATTTGGAGTTGTTCGAGTGCTTGTCCGAATCCGAGAGGCTATGATACCATTGATATTAACCATAGGGTGCCATATTGACTATGAGTTGCCGGACAAACCACATAGCTACTATTGGCATCATGGCACACTACAGTGTGGTATTTAGTGCTATGGATGGTCTATAGATGCTCTGTTGTGCTATCAAGGCTATGTAGCGATATATACTCTTGCAGTGTGCAACTTGTGTCCGACCTTTTTCCTGATGCAGAACCTGCAACTCAAGGAGGCATGTATTTGCAAAGGTAAGGTTACTTTATGCGTCGTAGACTCAGATGAGTACATGAGCTTACTACATTTAAGGTCTGGATCAACGATCCCGTCAATACCATCTTCACCCATAGGACATGTTCCTGATCGAAATTATATGAGAACAACCTTGCAATCATGTCTTGAGGGCCTTGACCGACACAATGACAAGATAATCAGCGTTTACAGGGAAATGCTGGAGATTCGCACCCGCATTACGGAACTTCTTGACAACGTCCAGTCAGAAGCCACGGATTTGGGAACAAGGAATAGCAATTCTTACCTCCAAAGATTCTTCGATAATGGGCATCAGGACATGGCGGCAGTTGCACTCGATGAGCCCAACACTATGTTACCGCTGTTGACTACACTCAATGGCTTGCCCCAGCCACTAGCCCATCGCAGGCTTTCGGACCAAGAGTACGGTCCTTTAGAATCTGTCGGGGTTATGGGATCGCTGCCAGAGGATACCGAGCCTATGATCTGTCAACGTTCCCAAGGTAAGTTCGCTATATTTTCAACCTAGGAAATCGTTTACCATGTATGACAGATGCAATGCTCCGCGACAACTCCGGTTTTGTCAGCTATGAGCTGGGTACACGACCCTTCCTACCTCAGCATGATACATACTCTGAGGGAAGGGCTCTTCATCCAGACGTAACCCACGACTCCCTCTCTGCATTGTACAAGGCAGTCAAGAAAAAGTAAAATGCACTTGGCCCGGATGTTCGAAATTTGTCAAGAAGGAGAGCCGCACTCGCCATGTGAACGAGACACATTTGCGGAGGGTTAAGACTGTCTGTGCCGGCTGTGGAAAAGGGTTCGCGCGTTCGTATATGAAGAAAGACCATATCTGCCCTGCCGGAATGTAGAAGTTCCCAGACTTTTTATGCACCTTTTCACTTACCCATCCCCCAATTCCACCGCTTAAAATCTGAGAAAAATGCCTATTCAAAGCCATTAAAATACTCTCTGGAGTGTCAATGTTCTCTTGCTGCGAAGCCACCTGGATGCGCCTTCTCAGACTGAGTATCGATGCCCTGTGGCTATGAGACCCATAATAGTAAACACCATACAGGATTGATCCGGACCACACCAAGTTCAGCAATTTGGTCACAGGTTCATCGATGCATCCTTGAATCTTTGAAGCTTGAAACCTGACTTCCAAGTCAATGGCATTCAAGTTTAACAGTGAGGCTAGGTGATCCATGATTAGATAAGAACTCGAAAGAAGCGGGAAAGGCGACGCGCACTAATGCAAATAATTCAATTTGGTTACTTCGGTGTGACCATATTGACGTTGATCCGGGAGAGCACTAGGAGAGCGTGCCGCTGAGTTGCAGTTTCAAGTTTTCAACCTTCAAGCTGCAGGCCGTTCAGCCGCTGTTGCAGCTGAACCAGCCTGGTCATACGGTTTGTCTCAACTCCAGCGAGATGGACATGGAGTTTAAAACTTCTTGATGCGTCGTCTCGACACATGAAAGACTCTCTGCAGGCTGTCTACAAAGGTCTATAAGTTTATGGCTGGTGTGAGTGCACAGATCTGTGGGGTAGGCTGTCATGATCTGCGCCACGTGACGAGATGTCGAATGCTCCCGCTCAGCCACTTTGCTTGACTAATGTCAGATTTCAAGTCACAGCACAATCTCAGCCCATCCCTCGTGGTCCTTCCTCCCAACTATCACTGGAGAAATTGAGACACATTTCGATCTGGATAGCAAACGCTCGTATGAATACCCTGATGGTGGCAAGTAAGGGATGATCACTCGCCAGAGTCGCCACAAGAGCATGCGCTTGATGCAATGCAAGTTTGAACACAGCGGACAACAAGAATCAACAGTGAAGAACCGAAGTTACTGAAAAGTATACACATGGACGTATTGCTCTGATAATTCGGACATAGAGGAAGGTCTTAGCTTATTAGATCAAATACTATCTAAATTGGCAATGGATTCATTAGCACCAGCTGGACGAGCATCAATTCTCAATACAATACCTACTATCAATTCTTCTGATGCTATCCTTAGCCTGGCGCCAGCTCTATGTAGTGTTGAGGAAGACGAACCTCTGAAATGCAAATTAGCTTCCCCTAATGTTATTACTTACAAATTTGATGGCTCATGTCATGCATGCGTTCTATCGCCAGTTACTGTCATTGATACCCTTACTGCGATCATTTAGTTCGACATCTCCAAAGCAGCCTTCTACCTTGGTCTCAAGTTCAATACCTGTTACCTGTTGACGGTGACCTCGTACCAGGAAAGAAAGAGCTAGTTATCGAAGTGCGCCGCTCACAGGGCCCATCAAAACCAGCACTCAGTACTCAGATTTAGTTACACTGCTGATAGCACAGAGAAACGAGTTCATTATATGCAATATCCTCACTCATCAACCCGTCTACTCTAGCTCTGAGGGTTGACTGGAAGGAGCGAAATGGATAAGCTGAGAGGACAACTTATGATACTAATATCGTGGAGGATGAATACACCTGCGAAAGAACATGCCATCAGAGAATTAATGATGGGAATTGAGTCCTGAATCCGGCATTTAGAAATGGAGATGCGAACAGCTGGATGAAGAGAGTGAGCCCGCCGAGGCCAAATGTGGGGTTGCAGGATGGAACATACTGCCGAGGAACGAGACCAGACCAAAAAATACTGGTGAGATTGAGGGAGGTGAACCTAGGCAAGAAGTTTGGCAGGGGAAAGAGGCAAATAAGGGCCCATGGGAGAATCTTTGAAGATATGCGTTTACCAAATATTCATGTTGCATGTGTCGAAGGATCTTGGTGCGGTGTCAAACTCACGTGGGCGTATAATTTTAAAGCCCCGATCAGCATTGGTTCACTCGAAGCTCGTTAATAGTCACTCGCATTGATCAATCAATCAATCAATTACTACTATGTATATCGGCCACACGCAACTTTAATGGGGCCCCATCTTGGCACAGGTTGACAACTTGAATTGTATTTCAATTTTGATGTCGGATGAGATATCATATCAACGATAATGCCCTGCCCGAAATTCGAAGAACACACTGAATTTTTGTGGAACATCATATATCCTCCAGGCGGACAGTGGGTCATCACCTGTGACTTTGCATAACCTGTGAATCGCGGGATTGCGGCCAGAGGGTACGAATCATCCTGTCAGTCAGCTCTCCCAAGGTGAGTTCATGGTCGTTTCCAGCTTTCCTTGAATCGCTCACCATGTACGACCAGACGCACTGTCCTGCGGCACCTCCGGTTCCGCCAACTATGAACTTACTGTGCAGCGCTTCCAACTTTAGCATGGTACGTTCTCTGAGGGACATACCTTGCCAAGTTCTTTAACTAGACCCAATGAACAGTTGACTCCCCCTCGCGCATCCCAGACCAGGCAAAGTAAAGTGTGCCTGGCCCAGGTGCTTTCAGTAAACAACAAGGAAAACTTCACTCGACATGTCAAGAAGAGATATGACGATGTTTGCGCGGGCTGTAAAAGCAGTTTGCGCGCCCGTACATGATGAAGGCCCAGCCAACCATGGATGTTGTTAATGTAGATTCGTTGTGGAACTCCTGGCTGATGCATACGAAGCATCCTGTCTGCAGTCAGCCCATGACAATGTCTTCTTATGCCCTGCTGCCAACTTACTTGTATTGTACCAATTGACAATTCCTAAGTTCTGCCTGTTAGACGTCGCCCATACTCGCTCTCGGCATGATGGAGGGAGTGCCAAGGAGACGAGTTCATGGATAAGGTTCACAAGTCTGTGGACCTCTAGTTCGACTATCCAACTGGTTGTCAGGATATTCAAGCCCATATCCATGCGGATACTGGTCGTGCTGAGGGCCCAGACTGGTTGAACTGTGGTGCCTACTATGTTCATGCATTGGCACTTACGGAAATGACCATCTCAGTGATTGTTCTGGGAATATCGCTAACGGTAATTGAGTTGCGACATTAGGATACGAATAAAATGGAGGGCAGAGGCTCAAGCTGCAGATTTTACCAGACATAAAGGCATCAGCAAGCATAGGTTTGTGAGGAGACCTACCAAGCAAAGATAGATGTTGTGAGTGTGGTGGCTGAAACATATGAGAACGTACCCAAATTCGAACTATATCAGCCCACGAGCTGCGGAAGACTAAATCCTAACATGTACATAAGGGCATTCAATGAAGAAGAACCCAGGTAATTTGTGAACGGTCGGCGAAGACTGGCGCCTGCAGAATAGTAGTGTGGTTGATGGCTTGGAAATGAAGGTGAGGGTTGTGAAGCAGCTGCCAACAAATTGCACTGGCTTGGTGAAAGAAAGGCACGGGCATGTCTAGGATAGGATACTAGTGCTAGCAAGGTCGGCAAGGAATGCGAACGTCGCTGAGGATATACAAAATATTAAGAGAGTCAGGAGGAAGGCAGGTGTTGCTATAATTAGAATCATATTGGTGAGCCTGCGTCCAGCTTTGTCCATCGCAAATCAACGTCGAGGTCAGACAAACAGAACAGTGGTTAGGCTAGGACCAAGCGAAGCTCGGTTCGGATGCTGGTGAGTTTGATGCCGGGTGGGCGGGGAAAAAACTCGACATGCGGGCTGATTGACTGACCATCATATGACTGATGTCGATGAGATACGAGGCTAGTGCCAGCTGGACTTCCAGTCGCGTGATTATATTGACTTCTGGATCACGTGGAGGGCGGGCAAAAATATGCGAGCGAGCGAGATACGGTAGTGTGAATTGAGTGAATAGATCGAATGGAGACGAGTCAAAGGCTTGCCGCTCAGCTGGGCATTGCCGGCTCCTTCCGAGCGCTCGGGAACTGGCACCTTTTACATTCTCTATAAGTTAGACCTCTTAATCCTGACATATTATTTATTAGAGCTTGCAATTAAATGATATGATGTGAATATGCCATATTGACTCGGACTCCTCGGGAACAGGCAATGTATGTATCATTCATCTAAAAAAGTCGAGTCGGTCGATTTGAAGTCAAACTTGTTCTGAACAAGCCATATTTGGGCTACAAGCTCAGGACAGTGTTCGTAAACGCTTGTCTTGGTGTAATTGAGACAAATGTTATTCTGGATGGCGCTTAAGTAAGTGAAATAATGAATTTTGCAAGGAAAGATAGCGATATTTAAGGTATGTACAATAAATCTAACAGGTATCACAAATTATATGTCATCGGCGATATCCGAGTCTGCGTCCAAGTCTGGGTCTACTAGTAGGTCGAAATCTGACAGCTCAACTCTAACACGCTGCTGAGAGACCCCACAAATGACTATGTGATCCTTCCATTGGTTCAAGTCAGCTTTCTCCTCGTCGCTGAGGCTATCCATGTCTGCGCAGATAGCCTCAAATACAGTGGAGTTTGCCCCTGGAAATAACCTAGGTGTGGCACTGAGCGTCTCATGTCCCTGTTCCAACAGCGCACATTTTGTGATGGTGCCAGCTAATCCCATCGCGTAGTGCAGCTGTTTGCGCAGCATCGTGAATAATTTGTCTAGTCGGAAGCGCGTATTCCAGATCAGTTTCCCGACGAGGTAGAGGATGAAGGGGTTTTGGAACTTCGCATGGATGGTCAGTGTCCCATCCTAATTGAAAACTCGTAAGTGCATGAGTTGAGGTGAACAAAAAAAACAATACCGCATTAAACGAATATACATGCATAAAAATGTTGTCTCGAACGAGACATCTGACGCGATGTAGAGACTCGCGTTTCTGCAGGCACATATGGGCACATTTCGCACCTTTTCACAACTCATGACAATTGGCCTTCAATGCACAACTTGCACCATCAGCTATATTCAACTTCTATCATGTCTCTAGTTGTTTTACACATAACGCGCCATAGGCGCGCTACTTTCCCACACAACGCGCAGCATTCCCGCGCGTGCTTAGCGCGTTTCTCTTGCACTTGTCGCCCTACTCCATATGCAACTTCTGCTATGTCTCCAGTCATTTGCGCATACAATGCACAGCTCTCCTGCTAAACGCGCCATAGGCGCAACACTTTCTCACCTTGCTTTCGCGTTCCTGCGCGCGCGCTTAGCGCGTTTCTCGCGCTTAAGCGCACTCCATCGCACATCATCCAGGAGCATCCATCCATCATCCAACCAGTTCCTAGGTGTGTCCCTTTTCGTTATCAGACCATATTTAGCCTATTACACTTTGTATTTCGTTATGCACCCTTACTTTACATCACTTTACCTCACTTACATACTTAGAGCGCTCCCTATTCGGCTCTGAGCCCTGGGAGAGCGCTTAGGTAGAACTTACATACTTTCATGTTCGTTTTACACCAGAGCTTCCTACCACATCTTTCTACCACCATGTACTTGGCAGTTAGTTCCATGCAATGCATGTGTCTGTCGTTGTCTTAAGGCCCTAGCATCAGTCTAAAGCTAGTGGCAGTATCAGTATCTATCTATATCCGCACATTACACCATATTATCGTCTCTCTACACTTGTCCACTGCTCGCACTACCATCCCTGTTCTCTGCGCATTTTCGCCTTTTTGCCTTTCCGCGCTTCGCGCATTTTCGCATTTCACTTTCCCGCGCGCGCCTTCAGCGCATTTCTCACGCTTACATCGCCCTTTTGTCGCCTTTGACCAGGGTTGATCAGCATCATTTCGTGGATCCTTGCTTTCTTTGCTTCCCTTAAGGGTCGAACATATTGCATGGCATATCAAGACCCAACATAGAGAGTGTTTGCTTGTCATCTGACTTGCAGTCACCTTTGTTGTGTTACCCACAACTGGAGCCCACCGCAAGGGGGCCATCTGACACAGCGACCAGTTCATCCCTAGACCTTTGTACGACACGCGCACTTACGCACTCCATCTGCGCTCCTCCATCCACATTTTTCGATCCGCACTTTTTCCACACTTAACACGACCATCTTCGCGCCATGTACAACCCAGTAGATTCATCCAGCATGCCCCTTCGAATAGCCGACTCAACGCCGCGCTTTGCAGGCGATGGTACTCAGCTCGTCAACTTCCTGGAGTCAGTAGAACGACTCGCGGAACCACTTGGTTTAACAGACAAAGAGATCATTAAGTATGCACTGAAGTATACAGCGCCTAAGCACAGGCAGCTTCTCTCATACCGCGAATTTGACAACTATGTAGAATTTGCTGATCACGTCTTGGATTTTTGGCCAGAATGTGGTGTTTGCCACTATACGCGCCCTATCTTCGAAAAACTGGCCGCCATCGATGCGCCCCTTGCAAGCACACCTCTGCATCCAGAACGCGCTCAAGAGCAACCAGAAGCAGCAATCATCGCACCAATTCCCGAAACATACGACGCCATCCCTGCCCCAGTAGTCCAAGAAACGCACCATCCGGAAGTAGAAGATACCGCGCCTTTGCCCCTCGCTCCGATGTCTCAATCTGACCTTGTATGCTCATCGCACTTTAGCGCGCCTAATCAGGTGCCTCCTGCAGCGCCAGAGCTTCAATACGCGACACCAGTTGACCAGAGTACGCCCCTTGACGATCCATGCATTACTGACGAAACCGCGCTTTTTAACGATAGCAGTTCATGCTCTTCAACCGAATGTCCAAGTGGTGCATCAGATGCGCATCACATGGATCATGTTCCAGACGACCAAGACGCATACCTTGACCATGCTAGAACCACTCCGGAAGAAACGTGCTCAAATGCGCTAATGGTTTGTATGAATGTCCCTCAGTTAACGCGATTTACGGTTGTTATACGTCGAAAGCTCTCAAGGAGCAAAGCGCCTATTTCCATGTTGCCGCCCATAGCCTATCAGGCTGTTCAGGACAATGTCCTTGATGATCTGCATGCATTTTCATTGAGCGCTCAATGCACCTTTGACATATGGAAGTTCCACGTTTTTGTTACTGACACCGTTTTGATCCTCGCACTGGTTACCAGCTATCTGCCTTTGAAGCACAGCCATATTGGCCTAGATTCACCACCGACGCTTAGTATTCCCACGCTCTGCGCGCGCCTGACCGTGCAATGCGCTTATGTTTGTGAAACTAATCTTGGAATCACCCCTCAATATCGCGTTTTTAGCCCTGCACTTGCCACTAAGCGCATTTCAAGTACCTTGCAGCAGATTACCGTCAACCAGATGTTCATGCACACACTCCTGATGCCCTTCAAGCGCTCTCTGACCCACCACCATCGCCAACCTCGCACCGTCCCTATCCCATATCACCGGCTGTCCCACGCGAGCATCGCGTTTCACCTCTATGAGTGCGGAAGTCGCGGTTTATGCAGAAGGAAGAAGAAAGAAGACGAAGAACCCCCTAGAGCGCGCCCCTCCGCAGTGCATCCCTACCTTATCACCGCACATACCTCATAATACCGGAAGAAACACCACCATTCTTTTGTAGGATAACATCCGTTTTACCCTGGGCTTTGACCAGAGATTTCGTTTCAGGTTTCGTTTAATATTCTAGCACATAGGACAGATAACCCGCAGACAGTCGTGCATTACAGGGATTTACACCAGGAAGAAAGAGATATACGAGAATATTGACCCTAGTGCTTGCACCGACTCATACGATAGTTTTTCCCCTTCTAACGCATGAAGCAGCACCGTGCACCTTGTTACTATACCACCCAGGCGCTTCAGCCGCATTTAGGCGCCTTTCCATCGCATTTCCGCTGCGCTTATGTTACTCACAGCGCATAGAGGCATAGATGTTGAAAGAAGATTGAAGAAACCAAGTCGGATGGAAATCCGCATAGATTGCAGCGCGTTTTTCCGTGTTTTCCTTGCAGTTTTTCTTATGCATAATTCCTTTTCTTCGCATCATATCTAGGACACCCAGTGGGGATTGGTTTGGACATAGATTGGATCGCTCCTCAGGCCCCACAACATCGCATTTCACCCCTGGATGTATATTGGATGTAGACTTCATAGCGCAATCACTCCGATGCACTCTATCGCAGTTTCGCACTTCATGCAAGTGTCGCGTTTCGCATTGTCGCGTTTCGCTTTTCGCCTTGTCACGTTTAGCCTTATCACCTTGTCGCATTGTCGCATTTCATGCTGTCGCCTTTCACATTCCATGTTGTCGCTTGTCGCCTTGTCACATTTCCAGCATCACCTTATCGCATTGTCGTGTTTCGTGTTTCGCCTTGTCACATTTAGCCTTTTCGCCTTATTGCCTTGTCGCCTTGTTGCATTGTCGCGTTTCCAGCAGTCGCATTATCGCCTTTCGCATTGTCGCGTTTCGAGCAGCTGCCTTTTGTGTTTCGCCTTTTAGCACATCCTTGCATCCTCGCATTCAAGCACCCATGCTCGTGCACATCGTGGATTATCTGCGCCTCATCACACTTAGTTGCACCATCATCCGAACACGTGCACATCATACTCGCTGATCATCACATATCCATATCACCGACTTCGCTCGAGATCCTCACCAGATGCACTCTGAGTGGGGACACTCAGTATTCAAAGTCCCCGGGAGATGTAGAGACTCGCGTTTCTGCAGGCACATATGGGCACATTTCGCACCTTTTCACAACTCATGACAATTGGCCTGCAATGCACGACTCGCACCATCAGCTATATTCGACTTCTATCATGTCCCTAGTCGTTTTACACATAACGTGCAGCTTTCCCGCGAAACGCGCCATAGGCGCGGTACTTTCCCACACAACGCGCAGCATTCCCACACGCGCACCTTGCGCGCTTTCTCGCGCTTAAGCGCCCTGCATCACCCTGCATCGCCTATCATCCAGGAACGTCCCTCTATGTCCACCCACCTCATTGGTACATCATATCCCTTGCCTCATGGTTTGTAACAAGCATTGCAGCGCTATTACATGTCATTACGTATTCATAGCGCTTATTGCTCCTATCCCTTCCGCTTCCGATGCGATTTCCATAGTATAAAGTTTGCTGACTTACTACTCCATCATTATTACTCCCCTTTGCTGTACTTCCCTTGCTATTGGGTTTTACCTTAAAGTAGTAGTCACCACTTGGGCGCACTTTGTGTTTCCAATGGTTATCGTTATCCACCTATACTAGACCTTTATCCGTGCTCGTTATAACACTCGGTTTGCACATCCGCTTCCTTGTCCGTTTCCTTATCCGGTATTCTCCGCACAATGTGCGCCTTAGCGCTCACGTTCCCACGCTCGCGCTTACCTTAGTGCGCTTTCTCGCGCTTCGCGCTCACTTCACTTTTCTTCTTGCGCTTTCGTGCATCCATCGCACTTCAAGGGTCTTTCTTTCATCTGGTTCTGTGTTCAGTAGCAGTCCCCTTTAGGGTCGAACGTTCTTGCATTCTGCAAGTATAGCAGCTAGGCAGAGCCAAGACTCACTTATACTGGTTGAGCATTTTTAGATATTTCATATCAGCCCAGCCAGGTTGAGATCGCCTCAACGGGTAGGAACACGGCACTTCACCAAAGGCGTCACCCATGTCAACCAAATGACAGGGCGGGAGCACCGAGACATTCAACGCACCATCATTGCTTCAATTGCAGGTGTCGCTGCACCCAGATTTATTCGTTCAATCTGTGCGCTCATAGAGTTCATCTATCTTGCTCAGAATCCTGTTCATTCTCCTGATTCCCTGCATTCGATGGTTCAAGCGCTTTCAGATTTTCACGCATTCAAGGATGCTATCATCGATGCCGAGGCAAGGAGGGGAAAGAAGGGTGTTAAAGAAGATTTTTTCATTCCGAAACTCGAGCTATTGCAAAGCTTCCAAGGCACGGTTGAGAGACTGGGCACGTTGATGCAGTTTTCGGCTGATATGACAGAGCGCTTACTCATCACACACTGCAAGCATCTCTTCGAGCGCACAAATCGGCGGTCTACTGATTTTACGGAACAGTGTGTACGGATCCTCAATCGCCAGGAGTCCATGGAACTATTTAACCTGTACGCGCTATTCTATTCTCGTGGTGCATCACTCGTCAATGCCATACACATTGAAGATGAAGAAGTGACAACCGTTAATCCAGCGCTTTCCTGGGTTTCTCATGTTCTCCCTGATGAAGCGCACTCTGTTCATGGACCTCAGCCAGTTCGGAATCATTTTCTTAAGGGCATTCTTTCTGAAGATGCTCTCACCGCCTTCCATTTAACTTCGACACCAGATTTCAATGCTCTAACACCCGTCAGTATTCAGACCAAATATTCACTTCTTGACTTCGATCACGCGCTCTCTCGGTTTATTGATCAGCTATCCCTCTCCACTGGCGAGCATACCCGCTGGGACCACAGATATGGACGCTTTCGCACATGGAATAAATTTCGACTACAGCTTCACTCTGCTTTTCAGTCACGAGTCATCATGCCGAGCAGGGTGGTACAAGCATACCCACCGAGTGATGCATTCCCCCTTGGAAATTGCGATATTGTCCTAATCAATGTCATGGGTGGTGACGGCCAAACTAGTAAGTCTATTTTTGCAGTCGTGTTTTAACACTAACTCGGGATGAATTTCAGCCAGTCGTGTTGCACAAGTTCGCCTTATTTTTCAGCCAAAGATTCCGCAAGCTTCGAACCTAGTGTTGCCGATGTTCCTCTCCAGTCCACTCCTTTACGTCCAATTCTTCCATTTCGTCGCTAATCCCAACGATCGTCCAGAACTCGCAATGTGGACGGTAGAGCGCACATACATGATGGACCAACATGGCGAACGCTATAGGTGTGGTGGTGTGGTGTCATTGACGGATGTAACACACACTGTCGAATTGATACCAGAATATGGTAACAAGGTGGACGAGAAGATTTCTTCGGCCACCTCTTTGGAGAGCTATGATCGGTTTTTTCTGAACAGCTTCACTGATAAGGAAAGTTATCATACATTTAGTACAGAGTTCACATAGACATGTCAGTAGCTCATCTTAGTAGTGACAGTGCCATTGAATGATACCATGTATGATTGCTACGATCTTTTATAACGGTCGTCACTGCTGATCACAAATGGCCCTAGTCTAGGGTTCGGAATGCATTCCGATGCATTCCAAACCCTAGACTAGTAGTTCCAAACAGGAATTTCAATATAATACCATTATTTTCTCCCCATTTAACAGTCGTGACGCTACCACGTCATTAAATTGACATTTTACTACAGATAACTTTGTCCCACCAATCGCGTCGCTCCATCACCAACGCCGTAAGCTCACCGTAAGCATCAAACTTCTTTCTGACAAGCGAAAATTATGGGTCTTTTGCTGATGTTATCTCTTCTTCCGAAAATACAACGCGCTGCCATCGTTCTACGCCACAGGTCCGACCATGAAGACACCTATATAGCTAGGCGGACAACGGATCATCATATGTTCAATTTAGCGAGATGGTTTGCAGTGCTAGTGAATAGTGGGAAACAGCGCAGTGTATGCCATGGCATCCTCTCCTGATGGAAAGAGGAAGGACGATCATTCTCGGCGCATCTTATATCCGACTTCTCATGGTGCCATGGCCTGACTTGAGATCGGATTTTACTTCTTTTTATCCAGGCTAGCAGCAGTAAGGATCGACCAACGGTTGATGACTGATGGTTCCTGCTACTGCGCGCACTTGGCACCTACGATTTCCTCCTTTTACAAAATGCCCACTATAACTTCAAGGATGATTTGGAAACATTTCCAGATGTTCGATAGATAAGTGGAAACCACTGCAGCACATTGTTGTTGTTTTTCTGTTCGGTATCGTCTATGCATTTGATCCAGTACCAGCTCTTTTTCCTCTGTGGATGCACAACGGATCATCCTGGCATCAAGTCCTGCCCAATATGCGGCACCTCATAACAGTAGTAAAAGCTTGCTGCTAGTCCTCAATACCGTAGTAATCGCGTCGTTTTCGCATTGCATCAAAGTAAGCGGCGAACCTTCTGGTGTTTACAATATAATCATCGACAGCAGCAGAAAACCCCATCGGGTAGATCGGCTATTGACCGCATATCAAACTTTTACACTGAAGATGCGCCTGGCTCACCAAAACTAGAAAGTCAGTGATTGTTCTTTTAGATGGATTGTATACCAGGTGTGTCAACTGCGTATATTTGCAGTGTTCCTGTTCTCATTTACGCTAGGTTTTATCGTGCCGGCAGTCATGCCACAATATTATTGGTTTGTTGTCGCCATACATGTATCTCTGTACGCCGCCACGAGCTATGATTTATTTTTGTGGAGACTCATTCCCTGTCTTGAGACGTGTATATCGATGGAACAGATGACGCCTGCAAGTAATATTTATTAAAGGTCCATACTGCCATCATTCCGGATATGTAGCACACACAATCAAGTAAGAGTTGGTGATTTCAAACCTTGACGTGTGATTGCAAAGCTCGTCTGGTATACTAGTAAAATGAGTTCGGACCATATCTCTATAGCGATGCATCTAATCTTGGATTCAATGACAGGCGGCATCTCTGGACGCCGCACACGTCCTGTTGGTCTATACCCCGGATTCCATGGAAGAGAATACAGGGACCAGTGTCACAGGTTATGTTGGAAGCCGGCTACTAGACTATAGAAAGAATTAGATACAAAAAAAGAAAGAAAAGAAGACTAGAAATCCAACCTTTTCGATTTGGAATGGGAACACCAATCATTATCAATATTGATCGAAAGCGGGATCGCCAAGTTGATGTATCCCTGCCATGTGTGCCAGAACGGGGCTGCCCTTGTTGATATCACACATCATGGGTTTACCAACCTAAACAATCCTTTTTTGTCGCAAAGTAGGTCTTGATTAAGAAGGTCGGGATGAAGTCACCGCGATGGAGACCCTTCGAATGGAACTATCACCGGTGGTAGCTAGACATGCTCCGACAACTAGCAAGTTCATAATAGTACCTTTGACAGTACACTTCTAAGTCATGCCGACTTCTAATGCAGCCTACTTGAACTCACGGTATTTCCTATCCAATGAGTTGTCCAGTGACATAGCGCATGGTTGTTTCCGGGATGTATGGACATCGTGTTCCACCGTCATCTGGAAGCAAGCAGGCCACATATGGCTGTAAAGCGATCTGAATCTATGACATGTAGCAGCCAAGTTAATAAGACTCGAAATAGCAAGCGATCATTCCACTTTGCATCTGGAACACTTCATTTCCGAGAACACTTGCCAATCGATCCCACGCAACCTGCAACACGAGGCATAATTGCACACTGCGACTGACCATTGATTCAAAGTAGACGCCCGCCAGACGCGCCATTGGCATGGAGCATACGGTATAAAGGCATTGGGGCGATATTCTAGTTTGTGTTCAATCTTCCTACTCTCGCAAGGGATAACAAGTATTCTCTCACATTTGCACCACTTCACCTGTTGCCTAGAGTCTACAGATGGATAGCTTACATGCGTCTCGTAGACAAAGATATGAGCGCACCATGAATTCATCCAGATCGACGCTACAAAACCCATCGTCCTCGCAGTTGGGGCAGGCCCTTGATCAACATTCTATGAGACTAGTCTTACAGTCATGCCTTGAGCGCCTCGACATGTTAGACCGTCAAGTGCACGAGGAAATCCAGGAGATCCGCAGCCTCTTGATGGATCTTGACAACTACCAATCAGATATCACAATGGAGGATCTGGGCAGATGTGATAGCACCGTCAACTCCCAAGCAGAACTCGATGGCCTCAATGCTATTCCACCATTTGCATCTTCGCACGACCGCTGCTTCATGCCACAGCCTGCATTCCATAGAACATCGTTTGATGTCACGGGACCGCTGTTAGAGGGTGAAGCTTCTCCTCAAGGTGATTTTGCTGTATACGCAGCATTTCCTTTAAATACTTACCGTGTACGAGCAGGCTTATTGCCCCACAGCGCCCGTAGTTCTGCCGACTATGGGCCCGTTGTTCGACCTTCCCTAACTCAGCCTCAGCACAGCATGTACTCTGAGGCCTTTTCCGCATTCGGTGACCCGCGTATCATGGAATTGTCGTCAGAGGGTGCGGATCCTCACCTTGGTCAATTTATCCAAGGTCAATTCGCTATCATTCACAGCTTTTCATTAAAACGCTTACAATATTACAGACGTATCGCTCCGTGGCACGTCCGATTCCGTTTATGAGCCAGCTGCGCAACCCTTCCAGGGTATTAATTATGAGGAGCATGTCCCATTAAATTCTTCGGCCAGACCCAACGAGGAACTGTCTGTCCCCGTTGTGCAGGCTAGCCAAGTAAAGGACAAAGTAAAATGCACATGGTACGGGTGCTCGACATTCGTCAACAAAGATAACCTCACTCGTCATGTCAAAGAGGTGCACGAGGGGAAGATTAAGGCTGTTTGCGCAGGCTGCGGAAGAGAGTTCAAGCGCCCGTATCAGATGAATGCGCATATCCTTCAATCCAAATGCGGAAGATCCTAGATTTTTTTCTTATTCAATAAAGTCGCTGGCTGGTCCTGATTGTATTAATATAGATTAGGTATATGTGCAGAAGTACTCACGATATTTGTCGAATTGGTTCCTTATGGAAAAGGTGTGATCTAGGGGATGCTAGTGTTCGCTTGCGAGAAGGCCACTGAGGCGGCCGAAAGTTCACCCTTTACCGCATTCGCTACTTCGAGAGGGGCTGAGCCATCAATGGGCAGGGAAGCACTAGAAATAGACATGGAGATCTCGAAAGGAACAGGACAAGCGATGCGCACCAACGTGATCTTGTTTCCAATGTCAAGAGGCGACACATGTGTTTTCAGGATAGCAAACAAACCACACTATTAAACATGGTGTGACGACAATTGAAAGGCATGTTCGAATCTTCCCGTTCTTACTGGGATGAATTGACTACTGCCGGATAGATTGTTCTGTGCCTCCTGGGACCTGTACCACTGACATTGCTGCCCATCCAAAAATCGATGCGTGCTCGGGCGGCCAAATGCCTTGACCAAAACTGCTGCCACGGGGCCGAACGGTGCGCGCGCTTCAAACATGCACTGCACGGCAGACTCGGTGGAGATGCCTGAGAGTAGGGAAGTCGGCTTGGAGAATCTAGATGGTTTGGAGTTAGACGTATAGCGTGTACTGGCATCCGTGGCGAGGAAACTGAAGTTGGGCTTCAGAAGCGATGGAAATCCACAGGTAGAGTCTGACGGTCTCAAGACTGATTGATCCCGCTTCTGCCTGAGGTTGGGTGAGAGGATCGTAGACGGGCAGACCATGGCATGTAAGTTTCTCAGTTTTAAAGTAGATCCATTACTATTGTCAGACTCCAATGACTCACCTGACTTTCGGGGAGGGGAAGAAGGAAGACCACGATTGGGTCATGGGTCGACCAGCTATGTTTGATGCTACCAGAAATCATCCCATAAGTTTGTATTTTCCCATGCATACATTAAAATGGCTTGTATTATACCTTTATTCACTTACGATTATCTCTATGATGCCCCTGAGATTGGCGACGATGGCTGTTGCCCTTCAAGTTGCACTCGCCTATTAATCAGTATGAATACGAGTGTCGTTGACTCGTCTGAAGCTTCAAGATCATCCTCCCAAGTGAAGGAAGAAAGTTGTTCCTGCACGATTATATAATTAATTATTAATTAATCATCTCCTTCTGCGTCAATAGGCCAAAGCAAGAGAGCCCTACTTAGTGGCCTATTTAAGCTGCTGGATGATTTATACGAGGCTGGGGGACATTTATTCACACCGAACAACTCTAGTGACGTGTCAATGATGATACCAGGAAAGAAGAGCTAAATGTCAAGGATAGCTCGAACTTCCTGCCCATTGAAACCTTTCATTCATTTTCATTTCGCCTTGGATACTTGCTTGGAAAAAGCCCTCGATTCTGCTGTCAAGGACTTCGACCAAGCTGATGGTTCACTAGCGTCACCATCAAAACAGGTGCACTCAGCAGTGGGTATGCCACTGGGAGTGGAGCTACTAGTAGAGATAGGCGCACGATTGCTGGGGATAGGGTTGCTGAAAGGTATTGTCCTCAATTATATATGCCGGCCACATCTGGCGTAGCTCATAAGTCTATCAGTTGCAGGAGTATCAGACTTGTGGCCCACGGCAAACTTTGGATAGTGGAATGTGCACACGGGAAGAGCACCGAACAGCGTGTGGCTGTCTAAGCTTAAGGAAGAGTAGGCGAGTAATAGGAAATAGTACGCGCCCCGGGAGTGTGTGTGAGGGGCCAATGGTAAGAACCGTATTAATCATTGGTTGTATCTGATGATCCGTTTTTCCATTAGGTTTCTATAGTATATCCCAGAATAACTCTCCACGCGAATAAGGAACTCAGTGCGAAGAGGGCGGCGCTGACGTCAGTGAACTAGTGACAGTCGATCGCAGTGTCGACATTGGCCTGACGTGGCCCCCAATGCCCACTGCCCACAGGGTTGTTTGGGTGCCGAGATATACACCCTGTCGCCGGCATGTCCATGAATATGTCCCACAACTGGTATACACCTTCATCAAGTACTCCCCTTGGAGATAATCGACGATCCCTTGGATGTGAGAAGAGTTGAGTACGCCAACGACGAGCCTCGCCAGCAAGCGGCAACTCAGTGACATGCTCTTCGATGGTCGCACAAAAAGCAACCACATTGAATCTTATTCCCATTGATCCACATCACCTTGTCCGTGCCTTTCGAGTCCTCCGTACTAATTTTCGCTCAATTACTTCACACAGATTCGTTGAAGCAGTGGAATTAAGGGGTGCGTGTGTCAAAGGCAACTTCATCTATGAAAACCTACATTTCGGCCGGGCAGATGAGGTCCCTCTTCAAATATAGGCTTGTGGATTCCCTATACGTGCCGATCATCCTGTCATTTTGCCGGCCAAGGTACTCAAGACATGATTCCAATGTTGATCTCATCGAATCTTGATCGTGGACTGCCCTGACTGCGATGAAGGCGTCGATGTGATGTCTGTTAGCGCTGATCTGTGTCGATATAGACCTTTGACGTAAATTCATGGTAAGCTCGATTTGACGAGTCTGCGATGCGTGATGCAAGCTTACTTGTGCACTAGCCTTTTACAAGATTCCTGCTTTTGTGATCACACTCGAGGCTATTGAACGTTATCGCCCGCAATTGAATTCAGAATTTTTATGGCGTGATGCTTCCCTTGCTGTGGGCGGTCCAAGGGACGGATCACAGCAAGAGTCTGTTAGCACGAATCATGATCCTGCATTTCAGTCATTCGTGTTAATTGTTCAAATATCCCCTACACAACCGCCTTCTACGAGGATTACCTGCCCAGTTATATGTCCTGAGACCACTGACAAAGACAGTACCGCTATTTGGTTTGCAACGTCAAAAGGTGTCGCAATTTTTTTCAATGGAGGGTTGTCATAGTAGATAAGCCACGCTAAGTAGATATGTCTCCAAGTGAAGAGAATAACTCACGCAGCTAGTATAGGTCCGCTGACGGCCGGATCATTCAATGCCTCTTGTACCATTGGCGTTGGAACCCATCCAAGAGTAATGCAATTCACGCGTCCCCTTGGTGCGATCTTCACAATCTCGCTTTTGAGTGTCGCCGTCAAACCATACATCATCGCTGCCAGCGCTCAGTATATAGCTGATTCACGACAAATATAAAACTCACCACCCTTGCTGATAGCATAATCTCCCTGGTTCGCCTCGCCGTATGTGCCTGATGTGCTCCCAATGAGCACAATTGCAGCCCTGTCTTTCACACTTTCTGTTGCCACGTATGTGGCGCAAGAACTCGCGGCAGACCAGGAAGTTTGAGGAGAGGTTTGCGCTGATAGTGTGGTCCCATTGTTCAATGGTCGTATCGACGATGGGTACGTCCTTGGGGGGGCATATGCCGTGGTTGATCACGATTACTGCATAGGGCCGAACGGCGTTTCCGAGAGCGCATCGAACATACTCTGCATGGCAGACGTCTGCTTGTGCGCATTGGAGCAGGGAAGCTGACTTGGAGAGTCTGGATGGGTTTGGAGTTCGAATTGTAATATGCAGTCACATTTGCGCTGAGGGCTGAAAAAAAGCTGGATGTCAGTCACATCTTTGGAGGGTTAATGGAATTACATAGGTGACGTGTATGGCCGATTGAAATCCCTGATTCCCAGGACCCTCGATCGGACGTCTCTCCATTTCCCCCGTAGTCTCGGACTTGGGTATACTGCTGGTAGCAGAGCGAGAAATGAGTGCATTATATGCAATACTCTCACTCAGCAAACTGTCTGCTCTAGCCCTGAAGGGTTGATTGGACTAGAAGGGAGTGAAACTGGTAAGCCGAGAGGATAACTTATGATACTAATGTCGGGGAGGATGAGTACACTTGCGAAAGAGCGTGCCATCAGAGAGTTGATGATAGGAAATGTAAATACATACTTGAGTTCTGAGTCCGGCATTTAGAAATCGAGATATGAATAGCTGGACGAAGAGAGTGAGCCAGCTGAGGCTAAATCTGGGGTTGCGGGATGGAACATACCGCCGAGGAACGAGACCAGACTAAAATATGCTGGTAGCGCTCCGTAGCGCTCCGTAGCGCTCTGTAACGAATTACGTTTTCCTGATGTATACTAGTAGTCAGATTCGGACAACGATAGGAACTTGCCAATTAAAGTTGCGATGTGGAGTGAGGCTGCAGCACGCAGAGTACTCCGGATCCAAATAATCTGATCAAACACAATCGGAATCCAGCCCGCAGTTAACAGTCCGATGTGGTACCCACGGGCATTCAGCCCACGGGCAACAGCCCGTCGAGCCATGAAAATGATAAAAGGTTTCTTCGAAATTGATATTCCGTCTTGCATTTAACATTGAACCCACCTGGAAGTCCACTATTATTATCATCTCTTGCTGCAAATGCCTCAGTAAGCTGAGTTACACTTTGTAGATGAAGACATGAGGCTTGAGCTCACCATAATCGTCCAGACCAAACCCGCAAGTGTCAACGGCACAAGTCCTACAGGAAATTCTTGTCGATCTCGACAGTTTGGAACATTGTGTTCACGAGAGAATCTCGGAGGCCCGCAGGCATTTTCTAGAGTGTCTTGCCAATTGCCAGCCAAACGTCACAATGGGAAGCAATGAGCACTACATTATTGCACCTTTCGAGACTTTGCTCGACCCTTCACTCGACCCGGCATTCAGTGGATCACTGCAAGAGGGTACAGGTTCTGCCCCCCAAGGTAAGCATCCATGCATGTAGTTACACGGTAAACATTTACCATTACGAGCAGGCCTATTATTACCTCCTCAGCGCCAGGGTCAGTTCACTATAGGGTTAGGATTCGGTTGGTTCAATATGATTTCCAGCCTTCCCTTTAAATCCTTACAATACACGACCAGACCTAATTGTTGGCAATGCCCCCATGATCACTGACGACGAACCCATTGCCCGACCTGTTCAAGGTCGGTTTGCTATCATAATCAGCGTTATTTTTAAATGTTGACAATTTAAAGACGCCGACGATGGACTCTTTGCTCAACCTGTCCAAAGCCACTTTAATATAGAGGTAGGGTCGGGTTAGTTCGCCATCATTTTCAACTTTCCCTTTAAACGCTTACAATGCATGATCAGACCTAATCGCCAGCAACGCCCCCATGATTGCCGACGATGAACCTGTTGCTCAACCTGTCCAAGGTCAGTTCGTTGTTATTTTCAGCGTTCCCTTTAAATGCTTACAGTGTATGACCAGACCTCAATTTCGACGATGCCCTCATGATCGCGGACGATGGACCTGTTTCTCAACATGTCCAAGGTCAGTTCGTAGTCATTTGCAGCCTTTCCTTTGAATTCTTACACTATATGGTCAGATTTCTCCGGCATGGGCTTTCAGCAGGCCCAATCAAACTCCCCAGCCAAGCCAAGAGTAAAGTGCTCCGAGTGCTGTGCAATCTTCAACAAGGATAACTGGAGACGCCACCTCAATGAGGTACATGGGGCGAAGCCCAAGACCAGTTGCGACCGTTGTGGAAAGAGTTTCAAGCGCAAGTCTAGCCATAAATGCAAAAGTTCCTAGATGCTATTAATGATATGTACCATAAATACCAATAGTTACTCACAATCTTGCTAGTACCGTTCTTGAGGTAAAACATGCAACGCATCGGGTGTCAGTGTTCTCTTGCTACGAGGCCACCTGAACGCGCCGACTATCTCAGCACCTCTCCTGCGATTCTTATATGCCAGGCAATAGTCACTGAGTAAATGAATTCCGATCTGCAACGAGTTCAGTAATCGTGGCCGCAAGTCCACCTTTGACTCCACTCACTACTTCGAGAGGCTGGGCCATCCATTGACAGGGAAATAAATATAGATATGGTGATCTCGAAAGGAATATGAAAGGCAATGCACACCAATATGAATAAGATTGAATATGACTGTTTCTCGTGCGGTGATATGGATGCTGATGGAAGAGCATGCAGCTAAATTGTTGGTGATGATCGTGTTTGACCTACTCAACTTTTCAATGGTTTACGCACGGAACGTTAGCGCCTCTGTACTTATTTGCGTTGCAACCCACCCAGCGATTGGTAAGTCCTGGGCCTAGCGGCCAAATGCCGTGGTTGACCGCGACTACTGACAGCACTTCGAAGAGTGTGCTTGGACTCATTGCAGCGGGAAGCTAATTTGGAGAATCTGGATGGTTTCAAGTCAGACTCATTCGTCATATTTATACTCAGGTCGGCAAAAAATCTAAAGATGGGAGGTCAGCCGCATTTTTGCCATTGGACTATGTAGTCACTGGTGGATAGATATCGTCCCACGAGTGTGTGTTTATTTCACTTCCCCAAAGATAAGTATAGGCAGCGGGACAAAAGACAAGCGGGTGCCGGTGACTTTGGCATTCCGAAGTACTTGTACGTAGATCGACTCCGGGGAAACTGCGCTGATAGTTCGGATCCCACAATCTTCGTCAGCTAAAGATATCGATGCTACTAGTTCTTTTTTTGTCATCGTCCGAACCAGTGCTGGCCACAATATAGAATATGATTGAATATTATTATGAATATATTCGAATACTCTGAATATAATACCTTGGCCCTGTATTCTCGGTCCTGAGGAATACGACTGAATATGTTACAATACATTATGAATACAATACATTATGGTCGGTGTATTTATCCATATTCTGAATACGGTACTAACATATGTATTGGATAGCCCAGAATGAAATGCATTATGCATAAGTGTCGGGGATGAACTGTACAGTTTATCTAATGATTTCCCACCCACCAAAATCTGTAAGTGGAATGCTGTGAGTCTGACTGCGCTTCGAATCACAAACATGGCCATATCTGGCAGCGTGGATCAGCTTTCACGGTTACTTCTTGAACTTCAACATGTAATTACAGGCCTACCATTGACTATGCCAGAAGGAACAGAAGATGGCCCTCTTACTTCAGCACCACATGGACAAAGCCTTGGAATCTGATTACCCTTTGCTAGGTGCTGGTAAGTGTTTTTATTGTCTTATGTGTCATCAAGCTCATCCTAGTACTAGTTCTGCATCCATGCATACGAGTTGCATACTTCGAAGACAAGAACTTATGGCCTACTGGGAATCTCGGCAGTCGTGCTCAGATCTTGCTTGAACACCTTTATGGGACTTATGAGACCGACGACGGCACTATAAGAAAATCAGCCGCTACTCCTGCATCAGCCCCAGCCTCACCATCGAAGTCTGCCCTCATTGCAGCTTTGACCATGTCTAGTGGCGGTTCCTCTACAGCGCAGAAAGAAGTAGACATCTATTTAAGTGGTCTCTACCCTTGTTCACCTGAACAAATGACCAATCTGCTTCAGTGGTGGAAGGTGAGTAACCTTCTCGCATAATTCCTAACAAAAATGTCTTACTGTTGTCTTCGCAGCAACACGAGACGACATTTTCTATCCTGTCGTGCATTGCTCGTGATGTTCTCGCTATTCCCGCCGTCAGTGTCGCCGTCGAGCGCCTGTTTTCTAGTAGCAAACAGACACTTTCCGATTCGCGCTCTTCGATGACTGCAGAGACTGCTTCCGCCGCTGTCATTATGAAGGAGCTTGTTGAAGCTTGGCCTCGGCGACGGAATTCAGTACCTCGATGGTGTTTCTATCCATTAAATATGATTAGATACGAATACATATGAATACAATATGAATACAATAACGCTATCATTAAATATCTCGGGGCGGATAGAGAATATAATATGATTAGAATAAAATACAGCTGTCGAGATTATTTTATTCATATTTGGACAGCACTGGTCCGAACTACACTACACGTCATCGCGGTTTAACTGGTCGAGCTCAACGGTTGTTCGTGCTCCATCCTCTACCAATTTTTTGGAGTGCCCGCGAATCTCGCCGTCTCTTTTCTTCCTGCCCAGAACCATTGACAACACTCCTGCTCCTCGCTGCAAGCACTTCAAGTCTCAGGACCGTGCGGGTGACATTTTGCGAACTTGGGATGTGCAGAAAGGAGTAGGGGGTCATTCAAGGGACACAAGGATCATGTACGATCAGTCGCCGTATCTGCACTTTAGTGAGAACCTCTTTGGTTTCTTCAGCCACGTTTATCCAGTGACATCCAGGCCTTTTTCCATACACAAATTCCTGTTCACCAGATTGGCTTACCTGCATGAAGAGAGCAACAATATACGCACACTGTCAGGTTCGGAACCCCAGACTTTACTGGTTCGCCCTTCAGAAGATCTGCGTCAAGCCTCACGATCTATTTCATTCAACTCAAAAGTTATCAAAGTCCAAAATCAATCTTATCTCGGATTTCAATTCCGATGGTGTGTCTCTTTTATGTCTGGCTTCCCTGAAGAGCCCTGAATTTCAAAGGCAATTTCGCTCGTCATCTAGTCACCAGCCGCTGGCTTCCAAATGAAGCTTAGGCGCTCCATCTGCACTGCTTATACTTTAGTCGTCCTGTGAGGCACTATCATTTACTCGCTAAACACTGACTAGTAGACGGCAGAGGCGAATCTTGACTGTGTGACTCTAGCCGTTTCAGCCAACCAGTCAGTCGTGCTTCAATACGACCTGCGATCCGACAAACTAAGGCACTGCATGGCACTATTATAAAAACTTGTCACCATGGACGACATGAGATGGCTACATGGGGAGAGGTACTCATTCAATACATACTAACGCACTGTACATTGGCCCTTACCATAGTTAAGTTCATTGTAGGCAGAATGTTAGACTCGTAGCCGATAGCGTGGTGGATGCGGATTTCGGGTGGTGGAAAGTGTAGAAAAGCACGGGGAACAGCACCGAACGGCGGATGGGCATTGCAAGGCAGGTGAGCACTAATATACAGGATGGAGAGAATGGTACAGGAGTGTGCTGGTCTCTCCTAGACAGATAGTCAACGAATGAAGATGGTCGCCTCTTCTTACCAGCTATGGGCAACAGCAGGCTCCATCGATCTCGATTGTCGATTGTCGATCGCACCAATCATTCCTCAACTGCTCGATCAAAAGGAAATCTCCAGTTCTCATGAAAGAAGCAACATACAACTTAATACGAGGAACCCATCGGACTCAGGATACCAGTGCCGAGAGTAAATTAGTCCTCGATGTGACTGTGACCGTAGAGACTAGTAATGGATTGCAAAAGCGTTGTTGTGATGATGATGGTTTGCTTTGTGTTTCTGCGTGGTGAGATACTAGTGTTGGGATGTTAAGAACCGAGAGAGCTGGCAGCTGATTCCTTTCTCGCATGATAATTCCTTTGCGTAGAAAGGAGTCGGTGCTCAAGAATCTAGAAGTAAAAAAACGCACAGGCTTGTCTGCTTTTAACACTTCAATTGACTTGCACTCAGAGCCTATTAGGTAGTAGTATGAGTGTCGTCGACTCGTCTTAACCTGAAGCTTCATCTCGGCTCGTCTCCCCCAGTCAGGCCTCCAAAAGCTCCAGCTAATGTACCCCTACCATGCACCCCCAAAAATCACAGAATCACCATCCGGAAATTGCATTTTTGAGACACTTTGACACGGCCAAAGGCGTCGATGAGATTGTCTGTTAGCGTCGATCTAGACATTTGATGTAAATGCATGGTAAGCTCATTTTGATCCTGAGTCAGCGATGCGATGTGAACTTACTTGCAAAGACTCGCATATGCTAGTTCGGAATGCTGAGCTTGGCTTCTTACAGATTCTAGGTGGTGTGGGAAGCTTGAAGGTGCGAACGCGACTTACTTGCTAGCCTGTGTGAGATTCCTGCTTTTGTGATCACGCCGGAGGCCATTCAACATTGCCACCCGCAATCGAATTCAAAGTTTTTATGGCCATGGCAGGCCAGTATGACCTTAGCTATGCTGGCAGTCAAATTTAAGCTTCAAATGCAGGTCCGATAGAAAACAAGCGCGTCAACCTTGTAGAAAGTTTTAGAGCAGGTTGGGGCGCCAGAAAGGGTGGATAGGCCATAGATCTTGACAACTGCAGGGGCGCCCTGATAAGAGTAAGAATGGATGTATCACGAGGGGAAAGGGATCAGACCTTCTTCGTAGCAACAAACACCGCAACGGACGGGTTCAGTCCAGGACTCAGGGAGACCATTGATGCGCCTTCAATGCATAGCTGATCGGCGATGCACTTCCCCCATCCAGCAGGACGGTAGCCTTGGACCTCTCGAGCAACAAGACGAATGGCATGCGACTCAGATACGGTGTACTGAAGGTCCCAGTTCTCATGTGACTTCTGTGTGAATGAGATGAGCTCCTCGCCGGTAGACGCAGAGAAGACACGGAGATTCTTGTGCAGGGCGCACATCTTCCAGCTTTACTGCAGGCAGGCGTGTGAAGTGAGATCTCATATCCTGAACGACAGACACAAGGCGTACCTGGTCGCTCCCATGTAGAGAGGCATGTTCCGCGCAGGGGAGAACTTGAGTTCGATGATATTTGGAACACTCAGTTCTTGGAGCAACTGTGCGCCTTTGGTCAGAAAGATCCGCACACTGCGAGGATCAAATTAAGTCAGCTAGGTGGATCTCGCGAGCTTGGACATAGGGGACAGCGAATCCCTCTATTGGCATGTATGTGGGTGTGCCGCCAATGATGCCTATGCTCTTCTGCGCGCGGACTACAAGATTCCAATTATGTTAATGGTTAGATCAACAGCAAACTTTAGACTGGATAAATATTTAACGAACAAGTATATTGCTGAGAGAGTTGGGAGGCCATTTTTTGTGCTGAGAAGACAGAGGGGGCGAGAACGAAGTAAGTGAATGCTTCACAGGAGATTGTCGGTGGAGGGAGAAGATCGAGGATATAGGCATCAGTGAACCGGTGAACAGATGAGAAGGTTATTTATTTGCTGTTTGCAAATGTATTGGCTCCGACGGTATTTCCAAAAAAAAAAGTGCACGCCACACCAAAAAATACAGCAACAACTTTTGATTTGTTTCTCGACAATAAGAAGAGATATCGCTAAGCTGTAAGAGACAAAGTTGGTCAGGGAACCAAGGCCAAGGTGCGTGCAACAAAAACGGGATGATTTGACGAAGTATTGGATCAATGACTTAGCCTTAGTACTTGCTTAGCTTATCAAGCAACATCATCTTCCCAACGCCGATAACACTCTTCAAACACGCCAGCATGCGAAAGTTTTCTGAAGATCTTTGCGAGGCCATTGTCCGAATGTTTCCACTGCTCGAGATCTCGGAGATCACAGCATACACTGGCGCCAGCAAGCACACAATCCAGCGAGTTATCCAGTTGTTATAAGAAAACTAGTCAAGCTTATACTGATCGCAACAATCAACGAGTCGGCCGACCACGAATGGCACAGATCGATGATGTCAATGTAAGTCAGTGTGCTTGTATACAAAAGATTAGACTCATTTATGGCGGCTCAGTACCTTCATGAATGTGTCACCCGCCATTGTGATACATACTTAGATGAACTACAGACAGCCTACCAGCATCGTCGTCATCTTCTACCTCACTATCTTCATCCTCAGGCTCCAGTTGCTGCTCAATCTCAGGCTCGCCGAGTGCCAAGTCATTAAGGTTCGTGAAAAAGTTCTCGTTCTCCCCATTAACTGTTCCACTGTCTGCCATCCCTGCAAGTATAGCCGCAGCTTCGTTCTTAGCAGTTTAGAGCTCAATGGCATGCCTGTCCGAGTCAGATGACACTGGACTTTTGGGAGGAAGCACATGGACCCATTTTGGGACTGCCCGTGGAGTTGGTTTTGGCTTTGCTGCAGGTGCTGGTGAGCCTTCAGACACCACACCTGCTGTAGATTTTATCTGTTGTAGGGTAGTCCTCGCTGATTTGTTGACAGGTGGACGCCCTCGCTGTTTCGTTGACTTTGCAGCAGCAGATGCTTTCTGGCGTCCATTCACCATTGTGTGACAGAGGCTTGGAGGATGGGTCACGTCGTCATCGTGTGTGACGAGGGGAGTTCAAGTTGTGGGTACAGTGGTAGTACTGTAGTAGTTGAAACTTCAAAGCCTAATTCTTACAAAGCTCGCCGGCTTGATTGACTACATTCTAAAAGTATCGAAATAGCTTGATACAAATTATATTAGCACCTCCTGCATGCTTCACTGAGTACTTAGATACTCGCTGGTAGCTCACACATGCTGCCCTTCGCTCACAACAATTCACAAAAGGGTTGGGAGGGGGTCAACTGACAATTTGGTTCGGACTTCGTCAAATCATCCCGTTTTTGTTGCATGCACCTTGGCCTTGGTTCCCTGACCAACTTTGTCTCTTACAGCTTAGCGATATCTCTTATTGTCGAGAAACAAATCAAAAGTTAATGCTGTATTTTTTGGTGTGGCACGCACATTTTTTTTTTCGAAATACCGTCGGAGCCAATACTTTTGCAAACAGCAATAAGGCAATAGTGGTACTCAATATAACTTTTAAAACTTTTGAAAACTTGCTTAAACGCCGGCTAGACGCTTCAAACTCCCGGCTAAAGCGTCAGCCGATGACCTAGAATTCAAGGTCAGGCCGGCATCATACGGTGGACTCTGAAATAACCATGCCTCCTGCCCATTGTGAACGTGCTCGACGTTCTGCACGCCTCAAAGCTAACAATCCATTGCACTCAAGGGCAATGGACGATGAATCAACCTCTCAAGGACCGCCCAAACCTCCAGAATTGTCTGGACCCCAACTAACTATCCAGTGGCAAAATGACCGTGCTCTCACTGATACCCTGGTGAATTACCTGGTCTCTAAATCTGCTGATTGCAGAGTGCTATTCTACTCTGACGGTAAAAAAGCGATGACTGCTGTCGACGACCATCCATCAGGCTCGGATAAAGGCCAGATCCACCAGAATATCGCCAAGCTCTTATTTGCGAACCACAGTAAGTATGGTGCCGCATACACCATCAATCCCAAAAAATTCCGTGATGCAGTTGGCAACCGCATTGGAACGTATGTCCTTTTTTTATTTTACTCCGTTGATAAAGACACTAAAATTTCTCCAGTCTCAGGGGCAAATACAAGAAAATCAAGACGTCATTTGGCAGCACCGGTGCTGGTGTGATGCCAGCCGAAGGGACCCAAGCAAATAACCTCTTAGGTGAGTCCCTGGCCCTGATTTCTCTGTCCTCAGCTGATTTATTTGTAGATGCAGCGCTTTTGGAGCTGCCATGGTACACGGACCTGGACTCCATTTGGCATTCCAATCCCTCCATGGCCGCAGTGACTCATTCATCAAGACTGGGCGTTGATCACGCCGGTGCATTATACTCACTTGTGCAACCACGTGGTGGGGCTGGTCCCCCCACGCACTTCGGCTCTACTCATCAATGGTCACCTCAATACTCTCCGAGTGCTCAATATTACGTGTCCGCTCGTGCTCCTGTTCCCCCTTCTGCTCGTGCTCCTGTTCTCCCTTCTGCTCCTACTCCTGCTCCCCCTTCTGCTCCCCCTGCTCCCCCTGCTCCCCCTTCTCCCCCTTCTCCCTCCCATACCACCCCTTATAATATGTCCCCCCAATTCCACCTTCCTGGTCTTCCGGCACCAGATTACAACTTCGACTATGATGACGACAACTTTAATCAAGAAATCAGTGGAAGGTTTGACGCACCGCTTGAAGACACCCTAGATCACCTTGACGGTGATGATATGATGGTCGACGGGACGACCGATTGCCCTCCCCATGTTGCAGGGAAGAAACCACATATTGCAGTAACATATCTCCGTATTATACGAGTGGACGGACGTGCATAATATCCCATATGATACGGGCCAGCGGACCATGGGCCGAGGGTAGATATATCCTCGACTGTGACGGATGGGCCAGGAGTGTTATTATTCCCGATGGAGACGGGTGGGCCCAGGTGGGGAATATGTAAAGTAGATGGGTGGGCCGATGGACATGAATTTTCAATAGACGGATCGGCTGAGGTAGTTGGATATTATGTAGATGGGTGTACCAAGGTAGATATGTATCAAATAGCCGGGTATATCAAGGGTGCTTGTTATCACATAGACAGGTGGGCCCAGATATATATCATATTAGACGGGTGGGCCGACGAATTAATATTATTTTGTAGACGGGTGGGCCGACGAATTAATATTATTTTGTAGACGGGTGGGCTGAGGGAGCGGTAAAAGATGTATTATATACAGGTGGGCCGACGGGAGACATATATTGCATAGATGGGTAGGCCGACGTGGGGGTATATAAGATAGACGGGTGGGCCCAGGAGAATGATAATTGTAGACATGATGGAGCTCAGCTAGTTGTATATCATCCAAATCAAAGGAGGTGATTATTCAAAGTCATCTAATGATGTGGTATGGCACGGAGCTTTGCAAAGGGGTGAAGTGGAAACTCGAGCGAAGTGTACCGAGTTCCGAGACCCGGGTCTCGACAAACGAATATGTGATGTCCAGCACACTTCCGATCATCTGGTATCTCATTGAGCAATGGATGATAATAGATCTTTGAAAGCCAACATCATCCAAGCCTACCAAATGCCAAATGCCAAGTTCCGACCACCGAAAATTGAGTGAAGTGTACCAATATCTGAGCCCCAACTATCGAATCCCGAAAATCGACCATCGAGTCCCGACTATCGAGTCCCGACTACCGAGTCATGAAACCCGACGCCTGACCATTGAATCCCGACAATCGAGTATCGAGTCCCGACCAACGAGTCCCGTATATTGAGTCCCGACCATCGAGACCCGAGACCCGAGACCTGAGATTCGAGACAAGTTCCAACTATGGTGTCCCGGGTATCAAAATCGAGTGAAGTGTACCGAGATCCGAGGCCCGGGTCTCGACAAACGAGTATCTGACATCCAACAGACTTCCAATCATGTGGTATTTCATTGAGCAATAGATGATAAGAGAAATAGATCTTTGAAAGCTCAGATCATCCAAGGCTCCCTTATCTGATCCTCTCAATCTCCACCCCCTTTAACACCAAAGTGCGGACATTCAGGATTCAGCTTCTGATCTCACAAGATCAATTCAATCATGGATGTTTCTTCCACTTCCGATGATGAAATAACCCTCTTGCGCACTTGGGCCCTGACTGTCACTCATGTGGCATGTGATTATACGGAACAGAAATTCAATGCAGAGAAGACAGGAGGAGACCCAGTTATACCTTCTCCAAACCTAGACACTGATCTGGTGATGGCTTGTGATCAATTGGTTGATCGGCTCATAAAGGCATATAAAAATCCCAGTGAGTCTTCCTGCAGATTCGGAAAATTCGTTTTATCAGTCAAATTGCTTCATCACAGTTCAGATGCCGATTGATATTGCAAGATATAGCAAATTGATCTCCCCAAAGGACACGGGGCGTAATGAAGAGAGAGAGGAAAAGTTGCTTGAGAGGTGTCCTCCTGGCCATGAGGGCACAAAGTTGATCGACATACCCGCGACAATTCTTGATGCATCCGGTGCCATCATCGCATGGTACCTCCCAGACGCCTTGACCGATGCCACCCAGGTGTGTTATATATATTGTGACTGGATGGATATTGAACATCAAATGGTACGTACAGAATGAAATTTGGGCGGCCTCGGATTTGCTAGCTCCCATGCTCGAACAAAGCATAAAGCTCGATGGGATTTGGCGGACTAATCAACAGTGGTTCACACCAAGCTCGGAAAATGATGTCCTAACTCCCGGATGCGTTAATTTATCTCCGGCATGGTTTCAGCAGGGGCACGAGGTAGGATCTGATGAGATGGCGATCTCGGTAGTTAAACTCACCAATCCCATAGAATCAGTCCGATCCGGAGGTATCTGCATCATTGAAGGGACCATCCTCCGAGAACATCCTCAAAGCCATTGCGAGGCCAGCAGCCATTGCCACAGCGGCACTCAGGGTGATGCATCCTGAGCAGTACTGGGCAGGGTTGCAAGCCTTTGCGAGCCTCGGAGAAAAGGCACGAAGCAAGGAACTGCCGAAGATGTCAGAGACTCTCCAGTACTGGGCAACGGTGTTTAACAGCCTCACCGTCATATGCAATCGGGAAACCCCGAATCATCGAGACCCCTCATCGATTTCCGAATGCTTCGATATTCTCACTAGCGTGGGGAATTATTCTAATGCTCGGATGAGTATGCCAAGCCTGCAGCTGGAGTTAAGGTACGATCCGGGGTGCATGATTGCATTTTCGGGAAGGATTGTCAGACACGCGGTTCATGCAGTGGAAGGGGATCGGATTGCCTGGGCATGGTATATGAGGGATGCTGTTCATGTTTATGCTGGGATTCCGTCGTGTGGATGGGCAAGGTTGGATTGGAAGAAGTAGAAAGGTAGTTACCCGTGTTAGTACCCACCTTCAAATACATGATACTAGATGTCAGGCACTCCATACTCAACATTTGGGTTTCGGGTACTTGATAGTCGGGACTCGATATTCGAGTATATTCCATAGTGATGTTGTACACATTTCACCGACTACTGAGTACCGGGTTTCGGGTTTCGGTACACGGTACCCGGTACTTGATAGTCGGGACTCGATATTCGATTTCACCGACTACCGAGTACCGGGTTTGGGTTTCGGTACACGGTACCCGGTACTTGATAGTCGGGACTCGATATTCGATTTCACCGACTACCGAGTACCGGGTTTCGGGGTTCGGTACACGGTACCCAGGTACTCGGTGATTCAAGAAAACAACTCCCAAAATTGATGAGTGTCATGTTTTGAGTTTTGTTTCGATTTGTTTTGAGTGTCGAATCTCGGGCTTCGGGCTTCGTGTTTCGGGTCTCGATAATAGGGACTCGATACTCGATGGTCGGCACTCACATCTCGGGCTTCGGGAGTCGATTGTCGGGACTCGGGTTTCAAGACTCGGTAGTCGGGACTCGATAGTGCGGATTCGGGTTTCAAGACTCGGTACCCGGTACTCGGGTTTCGGTACTCGGTGATTCAAGAAAGTGTCGTGGTGTTTGGAGTTTTGATTTGTTTCGTGTCGAATCTCGGGCTTCGGGCTGCTTGGGTTTTGGGTCTCGATATTGGGGACTCGATACTCGATGGTCGGCACTCAAATCTCGGGCTTCGGGAGTCGATTGTCAGGACTCGGGTTTCAAGACTCGATTGTCGGGACTCGATGGTTGGGACTCGATGGTTGGGACTCGATAGTCGGGCTGTGGGACTCGATTGTCAGGACTCGGTGGGGACTCAAAACTCGCAACTCATAGCAATGTTCGAGTTTCAAGTCTCGTCTCGAATCTTGGGCTTCGGGACTGGATATCCGGGACTCTATGTTTGGGACTCAATATTTGGGACTCAAGATATCTGGATCTCGATACTCGATATTTGGTATGCAGGACTCAGCATATAGCAATAGGTCAGATATTCGAAAGTCAGTATGTAATTTTCAGTACTTATTTCATCATGTACAGAATTTAGACTTCAACATTCTGAACTGAAGGACTAGAACTACTCTGGTCCCCTTGGGTTCAATTTGGTTAGGACGGCGGTGTACATCTGAATCTCTGCCATCTTTTCACGGATGCCAGCTTGTTGATCCTCAATCACTGTCAGGAGGCGTTCCCTCATCCACCTCAGTGCCTTCAGCGTTGCAAGCGAGCTTTCATCCACCTGCTCGGGAACAACAAGACGTTCGTCCTCAACGCCAGACTAGAAAGGATTAGTCATCACTCAAGGAAATTCTGTAAAAGTCTTACTAGCCAATGCTGGTAGTGACAGACACAATTAGCGAATACCTGATCCCATGGCCATAATTCGTTCGGGATGGCAGTTGATCCGGTCCACCATGGAGTACCATAGGTGGATACAATGCGGGAGGGATCCCCCAGATCTGCAACGTCTTGAAACTGGCATAGGTGGGATGAAAAGATGTGGTCCGGAACCATGTTCCAGGTGAGCTCGGGAATCAACTGAAGAATATGAGCAACCGGGCTCGGAACAACCGAAATGATGTTCCTTGCAGCTGAGTACTGCAGGATGGGAGTCACAAAAGTCTGTTGGAAATGTCAGCATTGACCACCACAGTCATCAGCCTCTTACAGCTATCTCCCATTGCAGCCCGGCTTTAAAGTGCGTGATCCGAGTAGCAGATGGCTCCTGGGTGTGGGCAGCCTCCATCTGATATTGAGAGATGGACGCTCGGATGCGAGATGCAGCCATTGACATTGTAGCTGCAATATCTGCCTGAGTGAGTGTGAGGGGTCGGAACCCATTGCCGGAAGTCTGAGAATTAGAAGGGGATGTTGGGGGAGTATGCAATACAGACATGGTTAATGCAGGATTATGAAGCTGGAAATGACAATGACAATGGCAGTTGGTTCGGAGGTCAAGATATGAGCCACTGGTTGATTGATAAAAATTTTCAAACTCCGACATGGGTCGACCCGGCCAATTCCCGGGACTAAAATGTTTGGGTCAAAGTAGCTGTTTCATATCGTTGGCAAAAAAATTTCATTCATCTCGAGCATCTATAAACCCGGTCTTCAGGTCTTGAAATGCTGCCTGGGCATCCTGTGCCAGCAATGAATACATTTGGGATTGCCTTCCCGAGTAGCATGCATGACCCGGAAGGTGTTTCACCAATGATTCGCGCATCCTGTCACCCCATTGGGTTGCTTTCCACAAGAAAAAGTTACATGTCCAATCCATCTCCAATTGGACCAACATCATTTCTTCCTTCCATCGATCCCGTAGTGCCTTTGCCCGGAGCCAATGAACTCGGTAAACTTCGGATGACTCCGTCAGCTGAGTGCGGGACACATCAAGCATGCCCGAACTCACATTCCTCATTCCACGAGTGATCGGGACCCCCAAGGTCGACTTCGACTGACCAGAACCAAGCGAGGGACTCGTTTCGCTGACCTCGGGCATTTGGATCGCCGACGGCAGTGCTGATTTTGAGTTGCTCTCGAAGCAGGGGTTTGTATTTCTGAACCTGGTCTTGCCCTGGCTCCAGTTGCATCATTTGCTTCCTCGTCTTCGTATATATACTGGCATGGAGGGACACTGCCTGCTGCACCGACGTCACCTGGGACCAAGCTCGAGTTTTCAGGGCCTGGGATTTGGCTTGCCTAACTGTTGTTCGAAACAGAATCGCCTTGTTGCACAAGTGAATTCGGAGGTTGTGAAGGGAGTCATTGGCCTGCCCTTCACGAAGAGACATCTCCAGCGGAATGAGATCGTCTGCCATACAGCGTCTGCATCGATCTACCCCGAGGTTTGATGGCAATGGGATTACAGTGAGCTCAGGGGAGTTTGCCCATGTGTCAGATGTCTCGGTGAAGTCTGCCAAGTCATCATCGAGATCATCAAGAATGTCCAAGTACAAGTCTTCAGGATCATCATCTGCATCAAATCCCTCTCCGAGATGCGTAATAGCAGACCGAGTGAATCCATCTATCTGGCCTTGGAGACGATCGCGTTGCCGGGCGATGTCTAACTTCTGTGTCTCGGTAGTTCTTCTACCAATTCTTCGGACCTCGATGAGCAATGCGATTTGAGCCTCTTCAATCGCCAACCCCATTGATATCCATGTCGCCACAGACCTGCGAGCAGGTGCTGCATTTCGGGCATTACCCTCCTCTAGTAGCCTAAGCTCGATCTCCTTTTTGCTCGGTGCTGAATGCAAAATTAATTCAGACTTTGATGGAGACAAAGTCAACTAACCCTTCTTGATATTAATCTCATATACATCCATAGCCGCAGGATTATTTATTCTGCTGGACTGAGCGATCCTCTCGCTGGCTAGCCACTCTGTCTTTGAATCGCCGGGTGCTGCTTCATTGAGTATGTCGAAAGCCTTTTCACTTTCGGCAATGCCATTCTTCGCCTGCTTGTATTTTCGGCAAAGGGTCCTTTTCATGCGGATCATCTTGCAGAAATTGGAATCATTCATCTGATAATCGAGACATTCCTTTCGATGCGGGGATGACATTCCCCGAGCAGCAGGGGAAATCAGGTTGAGACGTGACCATAGGGTCTCCATGATCTCTCCATCAATCCGACCGATGCCTTCGATAAAATTCGACGCATATCGGACATAGCAGCTGTCCTGATGTCCGTGGATGTGCCACAACCCGATTCCGGGAATGATGGTCAATTCCGGAACCATTTCGAGAAATCGGCTTCGATCCACCCGAACCCGAAAGTGCTTGTTGTATTGACAGTTGATATCATAGAAGGTGACCGCCCTGGTGATGCCTTCCATGTTGTGCCGGGCAGCCTCACAAAGGGCATAGTCCATGTTCATTTGTCTGCGAATGATGCATGGTTAACTCGTGAATATCGAATGGCTGGGTCGGCTTGCCTTTCGCCTTTCTGAAAATCTACCATCGAGTGAGGAACAAAGCAACCGTGTCTCGCACAGGCTACTCCCCCGATACCCGTGGATTCCAGCTTGTGCCGAGCCGCATTTGCTTGATTTACTGCCCGGTGATTGTTGCAGCTTGATTTTTCTAAAGTGTCGGCAGCCTCTGCAAGATGCGTGTTATACCTGTCCTTTCCCACCATGAATCCCAACCCATCTGACAGCCAAACTTCATCAAATGGCTTCATGGGATGCAGGTGTTCAGCTTTGAAATTTCCATCCATAACAAATGACCGGGTGTATTTCCACCTTGGAGTTGTTATTATTGCTGAGGTGACTTCGGTATCGAGGAAGACTCACTCATCAAGTGATTCATCCCCTGAGAAGGACACATTAATCCCAGGCTGAGGACATGCCGGGCAAAATAATGCGAGATCTCCTGCATTCGGGCTGTCGGAACAATGGCCGAAGCCATGCCATTTCATCGTCTTCAACTGCCTCCACTGTCGGGCGACTCTCATGAGCTCTCGGTATCGGTCCTTGCCCCATGCCTTGTCAATATAATGTCCTTTAGATGAGAGAGACATGGCATTACCGGTACAAGGTGTGGAAACATCCTCGAGGTCATTCGCCGGAGCTTGCTGTAATAGTTCATCGCCGAGGTCCCACATTCAAGGTTGTCCAATAGAAAATCATCGAGAACCCTGAAGGTGAATAAAGTCTTCGGCTTGTTAAATGAAGCGGGGAAAAATCCATGTCGAAACATTTGAAGGTCTGGACTCATGGCATTTGGACAATCGCAGCATCGAACCCGGAGGCGATGAACTCCGGACTTGTCAATGATGACCATGGTGTTTTCCTTCGGCTGGAACTCGGGTCCCGACACAGATGGTAGATCTTCAGGCTCAAGCTGGTCTTCTGGTTCATCTTCTTCAAACAAGTCCCACCTATCCGTAAGTACCGGACATTGTTTACCCTCATGACCGAGGTGTATGACGAGTCCGACGTGAGCGAGACAACTTTGCTCAAAGAATTGACCATTCCATTGACTGATCCAATGGAAGGGATTGCAAAGATGTTGACGTCTGCAACAGCCAGTGCAATAGAGTGGCTCCCCAAGACAATCTTGACATTTGTAGACCCCATCCTGGTCGGCAGACGACGCATCTCCTATCTTCTGGTGGAGCTTCTCGATCCAGGAGGTGATGCAGATATGATTTCTGCCTTGGCAGCCATTGCCTGAGGTAGTCATTCTGACTCTGGATTTGTTATACTAGCTATCA